TTTGGATTCCATGTATTTCAAAAACAATTAGAACTACCCAAAGCTGTCTCTGTAAGCAACCACAACAATTAGAAATAAACAATTCGCGTTAATGGTTGTTTTTACAAGTTATTCCAAGTTACACTTTGCTAGTGGGGCTTCCTGAGGGTAACAAGAGTTGCTAAACGCGTGTTTGTTGGGGAAAGATTCACAAGCTGAAAAATGAATTCAATGAATCACAACAATAGCTGCAAGTTAGTTGATTTTCATCAAACTTGCCCGCTCCTAGACCTCCAAAAGCTTGAATCAGAAATCCCCTATATTGCTCGCTGGTCTAGAAGAGGAAATTTCGTGAATCATGTTTCAATTTTTTTGTTGTCAACCGTTAAGAGATTCATCCACCATGCTAACATTGGGGCTTCCAAAATCCCTTCAGTTGTAGCATCAGTGAGCTCACTCGCATAGTTGCCATTTTTAAACCTTAAGCTAGCAGAACTTCTTCCCTTCCCGCTCGATAAGAGTTAGTCAAAGATATTGATGCGACGGTAAAAAACGGGAAAAAAAACGGAAAAAATTAACACAAATGTTTTACGTAGCTTTTTCTCCCGGTCCGTGATTTAAATTATCTAAACCTCAAACTCCCCCCTTTTTCATGGCTTTGGCAATAAATCAGAAGGGAACATGACTTGGTCCGCAAATATTCGATACGGAACTTAAACTCGGCTTGTTAAAGATATTTGCACACCATATGTTTAAGATTGGGAAAAAAAAAGCGTTCAATAATAAACACCGGACACCGTATGAAATCAAGTCCAATATAAAAATGCTGCATTTAAATCGATCGCATGGCGCTATGACACTGCCATATAGTAAGCATGCAAATTGTCTTACCTCGTTGAGAAACTTTAAGAACTTAAAGAAAACAGATGGAAATGTTAATTGGTCCTGAAAAATTTGTCTGGCTAAAGGATCAATAGTAAATTACTCTACGTTTCAAACTGACCCAAGAAAATTTCATACAACTTTAGCCTTTGTTATTTTTATACTTTTCAAAGAAGCTCTCCAAAAAGTTAAACGCCTAGTAGTTTCATCCACAAGAAATCCACGTCTATTAGTGGAGTTAGTTGTAAAGTATTTCCGTAAGCATCCGAAGATATGAATGTATTCAAGCGATTAAAGTTCTGAGTATTTATCTTAACCCCTAGCAGTGTACCTTATGACTGAGGCCTTTTACGCTCATTTGGGAATTAACTTAGTTGCTTTGGGAAAAGGAAGCATACAAATTCCACGTATATTATTTACTTTTATCATTTATTAGCGACAGGGAGATGAGGTAGACACGAGTCTTCCTTAAAGACATATATTTCAAACATAACGGTGAGAGAGTCATTGGTATGACCCCATGGGATAACCATGCGCCAAAACGTCGGAAAACTGCCATTTCCAACATAGAAAAGCTGCGTTTTATCGAATGTGTCCCAATGAATCAACGTTTAAAATTCAATATATTGGGGGGCATTCATGAACGTGAGCTGAAACAACCTGCCCAGGATTTTCGTAGTTGAAAACGAGATTTTCACACAGAAAAACACATACATGGTAAGATTTCTGACCTAAATGTGGGCAATTGCGCTTGTGGCCGGGTTGCTGATAAAAAAATGATTCTTCATGCCGACACAATGTGAGGCAAATAGTAAAAGGGGAAATTAATTATTTACATCTGTGAATTTAGGAAGATAGAGTTCATACAATCCTGTATATCATTTTGTTTTTCACCGCGTAACTACACGTAAGAAACAACTTCTTAAATAAGTCGAACAGAACTTCATTTGACTTTCATTTGGCTCTCTAGGAAAGGAAAGTTATTATTTGACTCCAGCTACTCGAGTTAGATTTGGTATGGACTAGATCAATTGCCATTTCATGTTAGTCGTAGAAAAGCCTTACGGCTTGACAGATAGTGTCAATAAAGAAAAAGCTTCTTTATTCAAGAATTTTCTTCCCTCTGCAGATCTCGTAAAAGATCATGTTCCAAAAAGAAATACATCAGCTTTTAATTTACAAATATAACCAAACACCATTCTATCTTTCTATTGGTGAGGTGCGTAAGACGTTTCATACTGAATCTACTGTTTTTGTAAACACAGATTTCTGTATTCGCCTATTTTAAGCCTTATTGATGTGGCATTTTTTGCAATCTATAGAGAGTTCTTGTTTCTTAACTTAGAACGTGATTCTCTGAATGAAACATGTTTTTAAAACAAAAAGTGGGTTGCCCCCTAATTTGGTATTGATATAAATAATGTTTAACGATGATCAAAGAAAGCCGATGGTAAGTTTGAGAGGAACGGCGAGAAAGGGCAGACTTATGATCAGTTCCAAGGTATCTGTTGTTTTAGGACTATGAAAGAGCGGCTGGAAATGATTTCAAGGTACCTTTTGCAGATTTTTTTGAACAAAGATATAAAAATTAAAAGGATGTCATCTTCCAGATCAGAACTAAGCTTAATGTTATGCGCCCTCGGCGCTATCAGCAACGTGCCCATGGTATGAAACATGTTTTTCTTGTCCCAACTCTATTATGAGTAAGAAAAAATTATCCTGATATGCACGTTGAGAGAGTTTTGCGGAAAGGGGTATTCTCTTTTTTCACTTATGAATCTAACTAAATTTTTTTTTATTATGATCAAACTCTTAACGCTGTCTCAAATCTGATGAATCATACTAGATTTGAATTGCTTTTTTGCTAAGACATAACTTACGCCGTGACGCTACCACATGCCTTGCCCGTAAAATGTCCTGCTGCGATGAGGCAATTTTAAAAGCCGCCTCTCAAAAGTTGTGCAGAAGTGTGGTTGTACATAAAAATATAAAATTACCTAAAGGTTTAAGTTTTAATTTGTTTTTATAATCATCCAACTCTTAACTCTGTCTGAAGTCTGGTGGATTATACTAGATTTGAATCACTTTTTTGCCGAGACAAAAGGGGAATTCTCTTCTTTCACTTATGAATCTAACTAAATTTGTTTTAATTATGATCAAACTCTTAACGCTGGTTCAAATCTGGTGGATCGTACTAGATTTGAATTGCTTTTTTGCTGAGACATAACTTACGCCGTGACGCTACCACATGCCTTGCCCGTAAAATGTCCTGCTGCGACGAGGCAATTTTAAAAGCCACCTCTCAAAAGTTTTTTAGAAGTGTGGTTGTACATAAAAATGTAAAATTATCTTAAGGTTTAAGGAAGTAAATAACAACATCATAAAGCTGCGGACTTAAATATTTTTGCCAGATCAAGCCCACAGAAAAAAAATGTTATTAAGGTGAGGTTTCTTAAGAATAACTGACGTGTAAAAATGGAGGGCAATTCGTCCAAGCATTCTGCGTTTATCTACATGACAGGATATCGATTGTTTAGCTTTGTTAAGCTTTAGAAGTTTAAGCTCCACATTAAAAGTGAAGTTTTTGATGAGATAGACCATTATCAAAAGTGGACTGAGGTGAGAATGCGTTGGGAGTAACACTTCGCTCGGGAATATACATGTAGCTTTACCATGTGTTAAAACACAATATTATCTTTGCTTACTCCTGGCATTACCAAACGAATTGAAAAATGAAAAATCCATGGAGACTTTTTGCAAAAATGAGAGTCCCTCAATCTCTCTCTATCCACTTTTTAAAAACATTTATTATAACGTTGTATTCCTGTATTTGCTTTAGAAGCTATGACGTAATTTTTTAATTCACAGCATTTGGAAAGAGCAAAATTGCAACGTATTTCAACTTTTAGTCACAGTTACGATTGTTATATAAAGTTTCCCATCTGTCGATTTCTTTCTATCCATCTATTCAATGATCCACTTCCGGTAAATTCACTTTAATGAATCCATCCTTCTATCCATTCATCCATTCATCCACCCTTTCTTTCTATACACCATCTATTTATTTATACATCCGATATATTCATGAATCCTTTCGCTCCTCTATCTATTCGTTAATTTATTTTTCTTTTCTTGTCCTTCTTACTGCATTTCCTCTTTTTCTCTTTTTTTCCTTTTAGCCGTCTGTACGACGGGTACACTTAAGAAAAGTTGGCTGATTTAAGCGTTTATCTTACTTGAATTTCTTTTTTTGTCAACAGATAAGAACATGCTTCCTCTTATTCCCTACTCGCTTCTTTTCATTTGCGTGTTAACCTGGAATAATTACGCTGGTTCTTCAATTACAGGTGTGCCTGTTTTTCTGCGTTACTTTTTCGATATCGATGACATTTTTCGTTACCAAGAGAAAAATTGATAAGGCTATAGAATATCAGGGGAGGTCCAACGCGAAAGAAATGCAAGAAGATTCTCCATATTTGAAATTTTGACAACCCACAAAGGCGAAAACTTCCTCCATTTTCACGTGAGCGTCAAACTATCCCTGCGGAACCACAGAGTATGACGCAAGAGGATTAGCTACAAGTAGCGAACAAAGTTGCGACCCTCTAAAATCACATTTCTAAAAATCTCCCTTTGAGTCGTTTTCTATAAGTTGAGATAAAAGCAAATGTTCCCCCAAAATATTCAAAGTAACAAAATGAACTTTCGAACACACGATCATCTCGGACTTTTAGCGTCGTCTAGTTTAATTTTTTTCTCATGTTCCTAAAAATTCGTTCCGCGTGTTAACCTGCACCCATTATATAGCTGTATGTGGTGAAAATTAAAGAGCTTTTTTAAAACGAAACTACCCCAAAATGTTTTCGAGAGAATTTGTCCCTAAGAATTTGTCCCTAAGATGACGCCGAAAAAATGCATAAAGATAATATAACCTGAGTGTTCGTAACATCAAACGCACCGATAAGAGGAAGATTATACGTCACATCAAACAAATTCACCCACAAAATATTCATGGGGTAAATATAAGGCCAGCAATTAATAGCTCTTAGGTGAATACTGACTCCGAAAACAATATCAAACGTAAAAAGAAGGATTATTCACGTTTTCTTCTTTTTTTTTTTCCTTTTTTCTTTGAAAGGAATCCAAATACTGTACTATCTATAAATACTTCTTTTCCTTCAGATACTACAGGTGTCACAGCGCCTCCAGATCCTAAAACTACCATAACTATTCCAGGTAACACATCTTTTGCAGAGGCCCCATGGAGGATACTGAGCCTAATTTACATATTACAAATACATAAATCGTTTTCTATCTACCTTTTTTTGAGGGCAAAGCAGGCCATTCATGTATCTGTGAATGTTAACAAGTGCATTCGCTCTATGTTCTTCAGCACTGCTTCTTTTAACTTCAAGGCAATGTTGTGATCTACCATTACTGAGTTGGTGGCATAGTGTCATAAATTTATTCCATTCCAGCTCCACCAAAAATATTGATGCCAGCAGTTGTGCGAGCCTTTGCAGGCGACAAAGTGACATGTTCAGTGACGGGGAGTGTTCCTATACATACAGCGATACTGAAAAACTCAATAGTATTGGTAAACACAACGAGCATAGCAACTATTGAGCTCCATGAGGAAGGAAACTACACCTGTGTTGCCACAAGCAAGTATGGAACTGATGAGCAGATGTTCTCTGTGATACTTTTAGGTAGGTTTCAAACAGATGACGAAAACCCTTCACCTAACATCACTTTAGATATGAGACTGCCCTAGAAAGAAAATAACCTAAATTACATTTGGCGTTTCCAAAACTTTCAACTACAGTCAAAAGTAAACGTCTTGGCAAGTGTCGTACCCATCTCATGTTCAAAGCCATATAACATTCAAAGCAAAATAATTAAATTATTTCCAAAACCGCGGTCACTCCAAAAAATGTAAGCCCCGTGTTTTTTACAGCAAGGTTACAGAACATTTCTGGTTTTTTTTTTTGTCTGGTATTTTTATTATTCAGCAAAGGCAAGTGTCCAGCACTGAAAGTTTTGATGTTCTACAACTGCTGCATTTCTTCCTGGTTGTGTTATTTTTCCTTGTTTTATATCTTTCGATACCTCGACCGGTAATAAGAATATTCTACAAAAACACAGTTCAAACTTAACTGCTCCATGTCCAGCATGGCTGTGGTACATAACACGGAAAAGTTGCTGATAGCTAATGTTTACATTTCTTTTTTTTCTTCTTCTTCAAGTATCGTAAGCAGCCTATTGAACATATCTAACGCATTTATGTTTTATTTTCTTTTAATATGTATATAGATTGTGGTTCTTTGAAAAATAACTCACTGCAGAGTCCTGGATATCCAAATGAGTATCAAAGTAATCTGGATTGTATATGGCAGGTTACCATCCCTCACGGCATGGCTATGCAGATTCATTTCTATGATTTTGAGTTGGAGGGCGATTTATGTTGGTATGTAACAAAGCTAAAAGAGCTATTCTCTCTTTAATTGTAGACTACTTCGCACAATTGCGTTTCAGCTCAGCATTCATTCATCATTACTAGAATTGTGCCCACTATACAATCTGATCGCAGGTGCTTAAAGAAGCATAACCTGTGGTGGACCGACACACGGTCCTGACGTCACAACCAGATTTCCTCGTCCTCATTCGTTATCAACGTCTTTTGAGATATGGAGTCTCACACACGCTAAGCGACTTACTTTGAGAATTCTCCGTTTTGAAGTGATGGCCAAACAGAACAAAAACAAAACATGCGCAATCATGCCTGTTAATCAGTCTTTACAGATAAGTTGTAAAATTTAAGGTTATTCCATTAATGTGAATACCTTAAGGTTTCTCTATTTCACAGGTATGACTATGTGGAAATTTCCAACGAGAATAATATAAATTTTGGAAAATACTGTGGAACGCAGACTGGAAAAAATATTGAAATAACTGGAGAATACGCCGTGATAAAATTCCATTCAGACTCAGCAGATCAGGAGAAAGGATTTTCCTTGTTCTTCACTGCTGTTTTACCAAGTGCGTGCCATTGGCATTTATCTTTTATAGCTCAAATGGCAAAAATATCTATTATAACTCGTTAATATGACTACCTGAACTTTGGAGCGTGCTAACTAATAAATGTAATAATAATAATAATAATAATAATAAATAACAAACGATGCTGGATATCCTGCATGTCAAGGACGTGAGAGTAATCAAAGAGTTCAGCAGTTCAAATGTACTCCTTTGTTTATAAGATTCTACAGACGCTCTCATAGGTCGATAGGTGTTTGGATGAGTGTGTGTAAAAACAGATGTAACCTCATGCCTGCCCTAGCTGAGTTTGATATATCCCCACCTTTTCATGTTTCTCACTTTGTATATCTCCAAAAACAAATTACTTAGGTACTATGCTGTTGCACTATTTTTCCAATATACCCCAGGTTTTGGACTCAGCTTAATGTTCTGCACTAAAGACTCTAACTAATTTTCACTCAAAGGTCCTCCTGTCATATCGATGCCTGTTGTGGAGCGTGCCTTCGTGAGCGAAGAAATGACATGTTCAGCGACAGGAAGTCCTCCTATACACACAGCAATATTAAAGGACTCAACAGTATTGGTAAATACTACAAACTTAGCCACGGTTCGCTTCCGTGAAGAAGGGAACTATTCCTGTGTGGCCACCAGCAAGTATGGGACTGATGTGCAGGAGATAGTAGTGATACTTCCAGGTGAGCCTGAAGCCAATAACCACGATCACTAGTTCATATTCATTTAGGTAATACAGAAACTAGTATGGAGCACCAAGTTTTCTTACTTGCACTTTACTGGCGTTTAGTTTACGACAGTGCTTACAGCAACTTTTGCTAAAATTAATAGATAAACCCTATATACACCCTTCATTTTGTCCTATCTGACTGTTTTGATATTTTCTTAAACCTTTCTTACCCCGCCCGCCCCCCCCCCCCCCCGAAACAATGATGCATTTTCGTTATTTAACCTGCCGCTGGAGATAAAATATTGCTTAAGGGTATAATAAAGTGTATGAATTTTATTAGCTCTCATAGAGTCAAACGACTCTCAAAAGAGGTCAATTTTTAAAAACATTTTGTTTCAGCTACTTGAAAAGTGATTCAAAATGAATTCGATAACTTAATTTAATTAATTACTGTACCTAGAAAAAAACCAACATCATACCGCAAACTGAATGATAGAGGGATAAATATCAATATGATATTCAGAAAGAAACAATAACTTCAAAATATAATATTTGAAGAAGGAAAAAATGGTAAAACTTTCCGAGTTTATGCCGAGATTAGGGAGCTTCCAAACAAATTTCATATTATATATGACGGAAAAGCAGTTGTTGATAGCCGATGTTTTCATATCTCTTGGTTATTTATAGTTGTCTTTTCCCGGTATCTACCTTAGTTCGTTTAAGCATATTGAGTAGAACTTGAAACGCATTTTAAGCGATAACTATCGTTCCTATAGGTTGTGGTTCCTTGAGAAACAACTCACTACAGAGTCCTGAATATCCAAATTCGTACCCAAGGAATATGGATTGTTTATATCAGGTTATCATTCCTCAAAGCATGACGATGAAAATTTATTTCGAAGATTTTGCACTAGAGGAAGCGTCCTTATGCAGGTATTAAAGGTTTCAACACGTCTAGTACCCTGGTATAGGGCCAGTTATTGAATGCTTAGAGCTCCCCTCCCCCCCTCCCCCCCCCCCCGGTATCTATACCTTTATCAGAGGACCACCTTGCCGTCAACTCCAAAATTTAAAACAACGGCTAGGATAAGAAAAACAACCTTCAACGTTCTTCTACATCTCCCGCCGAATATTTTTTAGTCTTCGTCTATTTCTATTTTTTCAGCTTCAAATAATATTAACAATAAGGATACGACACCAGTGACGGTGAAAACGGCAACGACAGCGGGAACGACAAAGACTACCAAAAACGAAAATGACGAAGGTAACGGCATCTGCAAAGATAAAAAAAACGATAGCGACAACGAAGACGAAAATGAAAATGATGACGACGACAAAAACAACAGCAAAGATGTCAACGTTAACGAGAACGAGGACAATGATAATTACAACGTCCATGACAACAATAACGATATTCACCATGCTGTCGGTGACTGTAATGATGACGAGAATAAACATATCAATGATTGTGATTATGATGTTGATGACAATGATGGAGACGATAACTCGAAGGGTTTATTTTACAAGGGCTAACAACTATCAAATCGGATTTAAAAATTTATTCTTGCAATGATTTTATGATTACGAAAAATATTTTAAATTATATATATTAAACTATATAATTGCTGTTATTAAAATTCAAAAGGAAAACTGTAAAAACTATTGGAGAAAGGTACCTTAGGAGCGTCTTTATTTTGCAGAGATGACTTTGTAGAAATTTCCAATCAGAATAACTTCACATTTGGTAAATACTGTGGAATACAGACTGGAAGAACAGTTGAAGTATCTGGAGACTACGTGATAATAACATTCCACTCTGACCTATATGGTCAGACAAGAGGATTTTCCCTACTGTTTACGGCTGTGTTACCTAGTGTGTACACTAAGTGTTTATCTTTTAATGTTCTGATAAAAAATATGTATATTCCTCAAACCGATTCCTTGAAACTTTATCCTATAGGTGGGTTATTTTGTTCGCGTGATTTATACATCGAGCTTCAAAAAAATTATGCATGCAATGGCACATTAAATGATATTCACGGGTTATTTATTACACAAGGATATCACAAGTAAAACTTATTAATTATGCTCTCAAAGTTCTCAATTGACACCAATTTCATTGTTTTAAGGTCAGCCCGTGTACAGGTATTTATTTCGGGAGGAAGTTTTAAGTAGGATGAACTGATATTAAACAGAGGTAGATTTAGGTACCGTCAAACTAAAATACGGAAGGACGATAACGTTAACCTACGACCCAAAGAGTATACTTCATAGTAAGATGAGCATTTCAGATGCAAATTTTATCAAAACTTGACGCCCAAAGAATGCTTTGGCAGGTAATCACCCAGTCGTTTCATTTCCCCATGTGACTTACTCTTGTGTTCAACAGCATGCTTCATTGTTACTTGTAATATTTCTTCATTATGCATTTCTTGAAGGTCCTCCAAGCATATCGATGCCAGTTCTTGTGCGAGCCTTTCCAGGCAATGAGGTGATGTGTTTAGTGACGGGAAGTCCACCTATACACACAGTGATTCTAAACGACTCGATTCTACTTGTGAACACAACAAACACAGCATCTTTTAAGTTCCTTAAGGAAGGAAACTACTCTTGTTTGGCGACCAACAAGTATGGATCTGTCCTTAGAGTCTTCACTGTTCTAGGTAAGTCTCTGACTAAAGGCCGTTGATCACCTCAAAGACACCAATGAAGCAAATAAACCTAAAGGGAAATTAAAAAACTTAGTTCTTAGATTGATCCATTCTATCCAAGTATGTAGGTACGTCCTGGAGTTCTCAATCAATTAACTTGATCCTTCAGTCCTGGTTTGGGGCCAGTTTGCTTCGAATCACTTAAAGATTTACTCATTTCGATTTTTAGATAAGAGGGAGAATGCAAAATGTCAGTTTTGATAAATGACTACTAAATGAATATTTTCTTAAACCATGAAGTAAGTAGATTTTAACTTTCCATTAGGCCGGCTGAAGTAACAAAATCGCCGGTTGGGAATTAAAATTTTTGCATTTTCGAGGAAGATAGCTTTTTCAATAATTTAATCTTCTTGTTATTGTTGCGATTACCACGTTTCTTTTTCTCGTTTTCACTTTGCTTTTTTAAGATGTCGTTCTTGCTTTAAATTTTTAATAATTTCTTTTAAGATTGCAGACCCACCTGTTCTTTCGGATTAAGATTTTATGGCTGGACTCTTTCCTGTACCAACGCAACACCTTCGTATCTTATGGACTGCCTTCCGGAGAGAACTGAAAACCTGTAACTTTGTTTTATGAGATTTCTTACACAACTGATCAACATTGCTTTCCTTACAATTTTATATCTTGGCTATTCTGTTTCTCCCTTTTTTTTTTTTGGCTTTTTTTGCTGTAGATGTGTTTTTGATAGTGGGCGTGCATCCCTCTAAGAATCCTAGTTCGTTGTCCATGTTGGTGCAATTGGGGCGAAATATTACACAAATCATCCTATCTGCCCTATGGAAATATGGATACCTTTAGAAAAGGAAAATGATTACATGATTACATGATTACATATTACGGGTGATATATACTTTTAATGTTACAAAATTCTCTTTTATAACCAATTCTCTTTGTTTTGTGACTTTAATTTTCAATAGGAATTTATCTTCAAACGCAATCAAATTTCTTCCAGTTGGATTGTTTGCTGCTGCAGCGATCGGGCTGAAGGACCTGCAAGTGCAATTTGACACACCTAAACTCGCCAAATTTTACTCAGTGAATTGCTCTCTCTTTATGCCGCCATTTAATCTTAATATTGAATACAATGATGGTGTTTGTCACTTAAATATCCTGTCATTTACAAAAACAAGGTGAAGCTACAGTATAAATACGAGTCATAAGATCTGAATAGGTTTACGAAAAATCAAGTAAAAAAAAATAAAAATGCAACAAGGAGTAAAAACGGCCAAAAGTGACGAACGAAGCCTTTTATCTTGCTAACTTAAATTTTACGTTTACAGAGATTTGTCTTCAAATGCGATCACCTCTCTACCAGAGAAAGTGTTTACCAAGCTAAACAGCCTTCGCAATCTGTACGTAATATGAAAAATGCCAATTTTACCTTGTTAAATATTCTCTTTAAACAATTATTGAGAGGCAATTTTAAAAGTAGATAATAAGAAACAATAAATGAATATTTTAAGTTATTCCGTTTTGTTTGAATATATTGGAGACTTTGTTTACTTTTGCCAATATTCATTTTATTTCGTTTCATTTCATTAAACATTTTTTTACCTTTGGAATAGTAACAATGTTAAAACTTTTTCCTGTTTTTCCTGTGTTCTTCTACAATTTTCCCATAAAGTTAAGCTACATTTGTTTTCCTTAGGTAACAATTCGATTTTTCCGCAGGTTTTTATCTTCAAACGCCATTACCTTTCTCCCTAGAGAATTGTTTGCCAATCTGACAAGGTTGAGGCATCTGTAAGGAAAAGTTGATATACCTTAGCTTACTCTACAAAATGTTCAATGCATAATGTAATACAGCACCACTTTTGTTCTACGAAATGTCTGGATTGAGCGGTAGTGTCAATTATTTTAATATATTGTAGTTTAATTAAACAGTGTCAAGCGAAAGCACTAAGCATGGCACCTAGATATACTTTAGTGTATGGATTTGACAACTTTACCAAAAATACGACCAGAAAGAACAGGGAATGGAGCATAAATGATAGAAATAGACAAAAGTACATTTAAATCCTACTAATCTGGATATTATTTTACAGAGATTTGTCTTCAAATGCTATTACTTTCCTACCGGAAACAGTATTTGCCAACCTAAACAGCCTTCATACTCTGTGTGTATCATAACTATTTTTCCATCACAATTTTGAACGTCTCAAACATTTTGAATCATTGTCTAGTTTCGATACGCTTTTCTACTTTTTGAATTTTTTCCAACTTATTTCATTTATCTCCCCTTCTTCCCATTTCAATGTGGCCTTGTTTTTACAAAGTTGTCAAAGTTGGGAAAGGGAGGACTTTCAAGTAACTTATAAGAGATGAATTACAACATTTCGGTTTATTGTGTAGGGTGTTGTAGTTGTTTACCACTCAATAAAATGTACAAAGTTATCGACAAACTAGGTATTTTTTAATGCAAACCGATTAAACGCTTTGCTATTATTGTGTGTCCTTTTACAAAATTCCCTTCATGGCAAAGCTTTATCTTATTTAATTGGCTAAGACATTAATTTTTTTCACAGGCGTTTATCTTCAAACAGTATCGCTTCTCTTCCTGACGGATTATTTTCCGACCTAACCTTCCTAGAGAACCTGTATGTCAAATTTGGCAGACCTTAGCTTCCCCTGCAAAATGTTTTGTGCATACAATTAGACATTCCACCTTTACCCAATGCGAAGTTTCGTTCATGCGACTACTAGTTCAAAATTTCTGAATTGAGTGAAATGTTGTTATTCGTTATCCAACATAATATCATCTGCTGCTATTCACTCGACCTCCGTCCTTTTGCTCTCCCACACAATGTGTTTTCTGTTCTTTAGGGCGCACAAGATTCTTGAAGTTTAATCATAGTGCTCTTCAGTTTTTTGCGTAATTCTTTGTGCTATTATTCGCTTAGGCTACCGGCAATCATGCTGAGTATTTTTTTTTCATTTCCTGGTATATCAATAGTCTATAAGATTGGAATGCTGACATATTCATATGCCTTGCTATCATTTTCGAATTCTTCGTCCTATCATCAAATACCGATGGTATAAGAAATTATTTTTGTCTTGCTAAGTTAATAAAAATCTCCTCAGGGATTTATCATCAAACACTTTCACCATTCTTCCTGAAGGACTGTTTGCTAAATTGACCCGACTGAAGGCACTGTAAGTGAAATTTAGTATATCTTAACTTATCTCATGAGGCACAATTGGCTTACCCAATTACATGTTCCCTTCATACCATTCTATGATCAAAATTTCGGAGCTGGATGAAACGATTTTTTTTATATTTTTCTGATATAATGTAGCCTCATCAAGTAATGTCGAGCGAAAAAAATGCACAGAATATACCACCAGAACACCTTATGATGTTCCTGGGTAGCAGCTTTACAACAAATTGGAAATGTTAACCGAAATATATGGGGGCGAACATAAAGAACCGAACTTTAAATCTCGCATTGATTGATAAGATGTTACTTTAAAAGGGATTTGTCTTTTTACGCCATTGCATCCCTACAGAATTAAGTGTTAGCCAAACTAACGAGCCTTAAGGATCTGGGCATACTATGAAAAACCTTGATTTTACCCTATGAAAAATGTACTTCTCACTAGTGTTACGAATTTATATAATAACTTTGTAGTTTGAACAATTCGATTTTATTTCAATATGTTGAATGCTTTGTTCTCTGGTAAATTTATTTTCCGGCGTTCCATTTTATTTGATGATAATATCAAATCTTTCCAGTAATTTCTGTGTTCTATCATGCCAGTAAGATTACCTTTTAACAAAGGATCTCTTGTCATCCTGACTTACCTGATTGTTGTTGTTGTTGTTTTTTACAGGCATTTATCTTCAAACCTGATCAATTCTCTGTCAGAAGAAATTTTTCGCGAGCCAAACTCGCTAAAATACCTGTACGCCTTTTTAGAAATACATCAGCTTACCCTATAAAAAGTTCAATTCTTACGAAGATACATACCACCTTTACTCAGTACAATGTTTTTTCACGCAACAATTTGATTTTTTTATTCGGACTTAATGAAAAGATGGCTTAAACCGAAAAGGCAAATGCTTCCTTGACTAAAATAGACATCACAATTTCGCAGAATGTCTCGTAGTTCATCTCCTAGCAGGCTTCAGTGTCTTCAACTCGCAACTTCGTGACTAAAAATTTCAACTGCCACAGGAGTTGCTAACCTCAGCGCACCCCACATTTGTTCACAATTACGCGATCTCATAGCGCGATTTGGTCAACTATCATAACTATCGTGAACCGTTTGAACGTAAACATGATAGGGAATGAAAGTTTAGACTATCATCGATGATCCTCAATTTAGCTGTGTCAAATATTTTTATGATACTTGATTATTTTGCCAGCGTTTCGAATCATTAAATAACTCGTTTCCTATGAAATGGCTAAAACTTCAAACGATTCTCTTTTCTATCATAACATCCACATATCATGAAGCATCACTTGTTATCTTAGTTCAATGAGTTTATTTATCCACAGGGATCTATCTTCAAACACCATCGCCTTTCTTCCAGAAGGACTCTTTACCAAGCTGACCATGTTGCGACACCTGTGAGTGGAAATTGATGTACCTTAGCTTACCCCATTTAATGTTTTTTAAATACGAAGTCTCCTACCAGCTAAAGCCAAGGAAATAATTTGTTACTGCGTCAATCTAGTTTTGATCCTGAGATGAATTTAGTGATGAATTTATTTTACCGTCCGTGACGAGCCAAACTCACTGAGCTAGTGGCGTTATTTTGCACAGGTATTTGACTCTCACGCAAAAAACATTTACCAATTGAAAAATCCTTTAGTCTCAGTGCCTTTTATGGAAAATATGAACTTGACTTCATGAAGCATTTTGTTTTCTTATGATAATGATCTTATACTGAGTGTCTGATTTCAAAAATAAATCCATAACATTAAGAATGATAAATTTGTAACAAATAACTTTTCTGTCGTTTTCTGGGTTGTATCATGAAATTCCCAAAATCATAAAGCATTACTTATCTTTCACAGATATTTGTCTTCAAACGCTATCACCTTTATTCCTGAGGGAATCTTTTCCAAGCTGACCGAGCTGTTTTTACTGTTCGTAAAATTTGATACAGCTTAGCTCTCCTGTCCGTTGATTGATCACATACCAACACTGCCCAGAGAAATGTCCCCCTCATATCGCCAATTGCGTAACTAGGTGTAATGATGGTATTTATTTTCCCTTTATTATGTCATTACATCAATCGGAGCACGACACTATAATCCACTGCAATGCTCCACATTGACAGGTTTAGAAAAACCAAATAAGGGGAAACGGGAATCAGAGTTAATGACCCAATACGCTTCAACAGATTTTGACTCTCGTTACCTTAAATCTTACTTCAAAGGCTTTCTGTCTCAAACGCTATTTCTTATCTACACAAAAAATTTTGCCAACTGAACCTATTCTCTTCCGTATGATACTTCCGTAACTTCATGATTATAGTAGTATAGATCTCCTTTGATAAATTCCCTATATTATAGAGCAGTGTACTTCTTTTGCATAGGTAGTCGATTTTTTTCCTCAGGGAGTTATCTTCAAACGCCATCACCTCCCTTCAAGAGGGATTGTTTGAAAGACAAACCAAGCTGAATCACCTGTATGTGAGATTTGTTATATCTTAACTTACCTTTTAAAATCTATGCAGTTTTACATTTAAACTAGGGCTCTTGCCTCTTCTTTTCACTAGTTTTGTTCTTCCCAGCTTCCTATTTGTTTACCTTACATGCTTTGCCATTAATATTTGTTTTCATTTTATTCCCCATATCACACTTTCAATAGACTGGAATACCTAAAGTGACACTGGTTATCCGTTGGCTGTGCTAATTATAATGATTGTCTTGTTTTCCATGATGTTATTACTTCCATCGAGTATCACCAATCATCTTCAAGCAATAACGTTCGTCTACGGTCGTCATGACTAAGTGGTCGCACTAGCTTCAGTCCCTTCGCTCACGAAGGAAAAAAGGCGACTGCGTACAGGCAACTCTTCATGTGATACTTAATCATAAAGTCGGAACTGGAACTAATTTTGCTTCTTATAACTCCAGTATCACAGAGAGAGAATTCACAAGGAATATGACCATTATACACTTTTTCTGATAGCTTGATTACTTGATTTTTCTTCAGATATTTATCCTCAAACGGTATCACCTCTCTTCCAGAAGGACTGTTTACCAAGATGATCAGGCTGCAAGAACTGTGCGTGATAACATACTCTCCATAATGTTCTGCGCATAAAACGAAACACTCCAACTTTACTCTATGAAATGTTCCCATGGAGCGAAATGTTAATTCCACTTGCGAAACCGGATGTTATAGATACCTCTTACTATCCTTCTTCATAGTATTTGACAAAGTTTCGGCGACGATGAAATCATCTAGTTCTCGACTGGGGTTATCTTCGTCGTGCTCGTCTTTCTCTATTTGTTCTTTTTCTTCGTTTGCGTACTCTTCCTCAAAATGTTTTCAATTTTTTCCTCAACATTTTGGCGATCAAAAAAAACTATTGAAGTTAGGGGGCCGTACAATGAAACACGGCCCGCTAAATTGGACAAACATAGCGCACTTACTCACTGAGATATAATAATAGTATAGAAACTCCAATATAACTAAATTAACGCCATCAAGGTCAAGAGGACACATAAAGTATGACACTGTTGTAGATTATATGTTAAACCACTTAGATAGGTGTACAACAACTTCGATTTTACTTCAAAAGCTAGATATCTGTAAACGTTATTTCTAATCTAACACAAAAAAATATTTGCTAACTGAGCCTATCATTTCCTATGTCCTACTTAAAAATCTTCATCTACCTCGTTCTACCCTACAATTTTTTTTTTGTGCTTTACTTGTTTTTCGTCGAGTTACTTAATTCTTCACAGGTATTTGTCAAAAAACGCTATCACCTCTCTTCCACAACGACTGTTCATCAAGTTGACCAGGCTGTATGACCTGTATGTAAAATGTATTACGCCCTGGTTAATCCTACACAATGTTCTATGCGTGCTGAGACGAGAACCAACTTTACCCCACGAAACACTCTTTTCGGAGCCCTATTTAATTTCAGTGGCGAAATTATCTTAACATGTGCCAATGGTATTACGGTATAATTTAACCGACACAAAGTACACAACAATCATACAAACTCAACTACTTAATAACACAACTTGTAATATTCTAATCATGGGGCGATTCCTAGAGGCGGTACAGTATTTATCCTTCACAAACTAATTTAGTCTATATCTTAACTCACCACTGACACAAACTCACAGTTTTCTCCAAAGTTCCATAGAATGAACAAACTTCCACAATAGTTCTCTCCCAGTATAGCTTTCCGAGCAGTCGGTCACTCCTGACGATAACAACTACTAGTGCTACACGACTAAGTCCTTAGATACATTTACATAGTGATCTAGAACATGCCGAGAGCTTACAACTCAACAAGTTTCATGAAATACATGTCAGCATGAATAAGCATTCTAGAAATTTTTCTTTACCGATATTATTCATGACTGGTTTTTATCATCCTACCACTACTTCATTCTAAAAAGTAGGGTAAAATAATGTGCAAAATATGACACCATATTGTGGCATTCCGGTTGGACTTGTTTATAACAATGCAAATACAGAAATCAAATCTGTTTCTACACCCATAAAATATGAAGCATTATTTTCTATTCAGTCACGTTATTTCTTTTTCCACAGGGATTTATCTGATAATGCCATCACCTCTCTTCCAGAGGGCCTTTTTGCCACGCTAATCAGTTTGCGGTTCCTGTAAGTAAACTTCGATACACCTCAGTTTTCCGTACTAAATTGTTTGTGCACTATGAAACATATCTAGTTTACTCAATCCAATCTTCTCTGCGCACCAATATTTCGTTTTTGTATTGAAAATAGAAGGTTGACATAAGTTAAACGAACGCTGGGTCATAACAGTGAAATACTGTAAAGGATTGGGTTGGCTTTCTTTGGATTATTTTTGTTTTCGAAAATCTTAAATAAAGGTTGTGATCGAAGACAGTTGCAACCGAAAATAAGATTATACTTTTTTCGTTTGAGGAAAAAATCGTCTCTAGAAAGGAGTATCCTCAGAAAAAATCTGATACTGACAGCGCTTGAGAATCAAGGCATGTCTACATTATATGTTTCTCTCAGTTCTTAACAATGTCAAACGCATCACTTTCAGAACGTTACTACTTTTTGTGATATAAAACAATTTTCCAATTCCTCCACGTTTTTTAATTTTTACTGTCACTTGTTGACCATACTCTTGTTGATACGGCTAGATTCCTCAATAGAAACAACCTACAACGTATTCCTCCACGAGCCTTCTATGCTTTGGAATTCATAAGTGTAATGTAAGTGTACACCAATACGCTAATTCTTTCAGAAATAATTACCGTCAGGAATTAGTGCAGCCCTCTCGTGTCTTCATACTCGACAGCTTCTGTTGTCCAGTATGTTTCTAAGTTATTTTCGTGTCGGGGAGGATGCGCAGAGGCAAATTTTGGAGTCGCACGTAGGAAGTTAAGGTCCATTGTTATTGGTCTTCATAAAAATTTCACGTAACTCACACACCTCTGTTATCTTGAATATACGATTACCTCAGGCAATATGAAATGTTTTTTTTATCCTGTCTTCATTAAATCATTCATCAAGTGCATTATCATTACTCTCATTAGCGATGGTGTATGTTGATTACCACAACACAACGATAACGACGATCGATGTAGATTATGGCGATGAAGATAGCAGTAATGACGATGAAAATAACATCAATCTTTTTATCGTTTACGTTTAGAGCACTATCCGATAATCCCATACAGGCAATTGGGTCGGAGGCATTTCGTTTCCGCAGCCCCCTTACCACTCGATTGTAAGTTATCTTAATCATAAATTCTTGTATTCCTCACCGAAAAAAAACCTCTCCTCAATTAATTTCAAACATCAGATTTTCAAATTAACCCTTGGAAGCTTGTTTTACCTTTGGTGTGAAATAATCCACAACAGTTTTGGTTTATGCGTAACAGTTACGCTCATGGAGCCGTGGTGCATCATCTTCCTTTTCGAGATGTTTTTGTCAAACTACTCTTTCACGGCTTTTCTAATATATTTGGAAATTTTTGTTTAGCTATTATGGATATCTGTTTTATACTGAGAAATGTCACGCTTCTCCCGTCTTGTGCCATAGGTTTATGTCCACAACTTTTTGAGCAATTAACAATTTAGCTGACATTATAGCTGAGTGAACAAAAATCGTATTTATTAATAATCACAAATCCACAAATACTCCTCTTACACCGCTAAATGTAGCATTTTTAGCTTACATGACCTTGTACAGGTCCTGTTGTTTCTAAACTAATAGCTGTGTTTTAACAGATTCCTTTTGCGAACGAACGTGAAAACATTTAATTCAGGATCCTTTGTGAATCTCAGCGTCCACGGTTTTAAACTGTAAAGTATTCAACGAATGTTTAATGAAGATTAATCCTATTAATATGAGCTCAGGGAACCTCTTATGCTCCTCTTCTGGAAAGTTGTTGGGCGCATCACTAGCTTCGTGTCAATCCCATTTTCCTCATCGGGATCGATCTCATTATCCGCATCAGTCATAATGCCACTAATATGATATGATAATTCGCAAGTGGAAATACCATATGGGTGCAGTTGAATGAGTTGATTTTGTAACTGTTTATTTTACAGCAGCACCTGCGCACGGTAAATCCGTCTTTTGCTGAAGGCAATTCTATATTAGGACATACTATGCGTAAATGTCTCATCGTAACGGATAATCTCTAACGATCAGACAGATCTCCACCGTAGGAATTTTCAGTTAAGTCTTCAGTGGACCATAAATGTTTTCCTGCAAGCATTCCTTCACTCATGAGCCACAGTGTTTCCATACCCTTAGACATAAGTCACTTAAAGTGCCTATGACACCAAATTTATTTTTGCATTTTCTGGTTGATAGCTGGATTTAAAATTAAAAATAATCGACCTTACGCCTTGCGAGTTCTCCTTGACCATTTTTTTTTCGCATTGAAAGTACGATTTGACGGCCAAATACTGTCCCCATTAAAAGCGCAGCCAAAAAGATCATGTTACATAGTTGTGACGTAGAAAACTGTAAAGACATGTCGGCAACTATGGTGGAGAAAGGAGAAATCTAGAAGAAAGGACGAACGCAGGACCAAATGATGTTAACTTAAAAGAATAGTGCACATATACCAGGTATTTCTATACATTACATTCCAAAGGATGTACCTACACGGCCAAATGGACATGTTCCAATCGTCGAGATCGAGGAGATTTTACTCTTCACTGTTGTCGGTCTTATGCTCCGTACCGACTCCGAAGACGCTTGTTACGAACACATACCATTAGTGAAATCAGGGGAAGATAACCAAAGAATTCAGCTAAAAAATGTTGATTGAGGGGCTTTTTCCCACGTCGTACACGATTGTTCAACATTCGTTTCGGCTGATATTTCGCAGGCGAAGAATGATGAGCTTCTCATTGCTGTTTATTTCACGCACTCGAGATGTACTCATACTCCTTGTCTTTCCACATGACTACATTTGTGCATTTCTTATTGTATGAAAATCCTACCAATTGTAGTTTCCGTGGTATTTCAATAACAGAAATCTGTAATGATGACTGTAAACTCATTCGTTTTCCGTTCGGTTTGGCCGACTCGTCGATCGCGACGATACCCTCTACCTCTGCCGATGACTTCTCGGTGAAAAACCATTGTGCCTCGTTATGCAGATGATTCTTTCGTCAAAAGTTAGCTTTTGGTTTACTGAGGGAATTTCTCTACAGCAACGAAATTCTAGAGAACTGACCGAGGGAAACCTTCGCCGCACATAGTATGAAGGAATAAAACTTTATGGCAACAGAAACGAACACAGCTACCCATTAGTAACATAGATTTTGCCATAGAAAACAAAACATAAACGCAACAAACTAAATGTTCAGTAACGGGAATTTTTCGCCTAAGCTTGACCTGAACACCGCAGGCGAGAAACTGTCTTTGTCAGTCTTCGTCGAAATCTTCGTTTGATGCACGCGGTTCTAAGCTAAACATTTTGGCAAAAAAATTGTGTCATAAGTACTTTAACATTTATAGTCACAACAAATTTTTATACACACTTTCCCCTGACGCCTTTTTTTTTTTTCCTTTTCAATTAAAACAGCAAGCGTGAATACTTGTACTATTGTTTGTGCTTCTGTTTCAGCAATTTGTGGGGACAAACTCCTCGGAAAATAGCATACTACTATAACAACGAGACCATGCTAGAAATATATCTGTCAGTATCATATTTTTAGTGATCAAGAACATAAAGCTATCAGCCGTCGGTATGAGCTTTCACGTAACGAACGCTCAGATGACGTCAGGTTATTTTGATAGACTACCTATAGACCACTTATTGCCCAAATGGTTCTTGGATCACCCAGAAAAATTTATTGTCTTCTTAAAATTTAGTTTAAAAGCCAGGTTTTTTATGCACTTCACCAACAATTACATTAAACACGAATAACTGTTTCTTGCGTTATAGGTAAGGCAACACTAACCTGATATACAAGCAACTCTTGACTGCATTTAGTGCCCAGTAGCCAACTTCGTTGTTCAATTTTATTCCTAGGAATCCCAGCGAATCACACATAGCAGTTCTCGAAGTCACTTCTAGTTATTTTGGCTTCATTCGCTTACAAAAAGCTTTGTCAGGGATGGGTTTTACACATACCATCAATCACTCTAGCCGCCAAAGTCTATTTCGACTGTGTCCACTAGGAACGTTTTCAGCGGGATATGGGAAATGTTTTCCATGTCCTCCAGGTATGTGATCGTCTGATTAACATTGAATTTTTTTTTTTCGATGGACACAGCTCTAAGATGCCCTATTGAATTCATAAACCACCATTAGCAAACGTTACATAAACTCCAATAGCAAGGAAGGTCAAATCTCAAATAGTAGGCACGGAGCCTTTCGAGTCAGTACAACTCCAGTCATCGGAGAAAACACGGAAGCAGTCAACTAGACCAAATATTTTCAAATCATAACTCAACAAAAGTCTCACAATGAACTGGTACGCAGTAGCCACTCTCCGAAAGTACAAAATTAGATTGTATTACTTACCACAGAGTCCTGACAATCCGTTAGTTATGAAACATGGAATAATTTTTCGATTCAAATATACGTTTTATTTTATATGAAAAGTACTTTGGTATTACAATTGTTTAAGTGATTCCAACGGGTTTTTTATGAAACCTGCCCTGAATGCCGGGGTAATCATATCATTTTTAATGTGCAGCAGTCTTCAAGCCTGCAAGTTTCTTACTTTCACACAATTATTTGTCATTTTAGTAATAACTTTAACTTTACTGTCGCTACTTTCCTTTGCCTCGGCTTTCCATCCTTTGCATCAAATGAATTTCAGGTGGATTTTATTCCGACACTCTTGGTTACGTTGCGGAAAGCTGCAAGAAGTGTCCAAATGGATCTTACGTTCCATTCGACAATACACCTGGAAAATCAATTCGGGATTGCAAAGCGTGCCCCTTAGGTAAGTAACAACACTGTTGGCACCTAACTTTTATCAAAGCTTGTCCGTCCATAACTCACCTCAAAAGTGGCTCTCGAAAAGTCAAATACGTGACCAGTGGCTATGAATTGGTGAGATGAGATTAGAGATAGTAACTCTGTGAAGACCACCCCTCGTGGGCTCAGAGTTTGGTTTGTGACGAAACTGAGGGATTTTATCAGGTCTACATAACTCTTAAAATCACAAGTAAAGGGCAAACAAACGCTTTACCTTGACAAAGCTGTCGGTCTTCATTAACACGTGTAACAACGGCAATAGAGTTCTTCCATCTCGTACACTTGATTAGCTTTTACTGTTTGCACACCAAATCGAAAGAAGTTTACATGACGGAAGATTTGATCCAGAGTGTGTTCAACTCTCTGCGCACAACCAAGCGCGAATGAATTGTATTTTTCAATCTCTGCATTAAACTTGAACTTGAACGCCTCCAGCTTTTAAACCCTAAGACCTGTCAAATACTCTGTTGATCTGCAGGTTCAGGGTCGTAGGTGGGTTCCGTTTGAAACCCTTTGGAACCGTTTGAGTTTCTCTTCGTGATTTTTTGTTCACGTATTTGCCTGGTGATGTATGGCCATAGCCTGGAGTTATGTAGGAAGAGTTACATGAAACCCAAAATGAATACTTATAAGACACGCCCCCCTCGTCTACGGAGTGATTCGCAGTTAAAAAGTGCTGGAAATTCATATCTAAGGGATATGAATGTATTTTCAAATTCTCGAGATAAGATTTCGATGGTGAAGACGTTCATTTTACATTTCTTTCTTATGGCCTCCACAACTTTGCAGCTTCTAAACCGGATCCCTACATCTGAGTGTTTGATCGTAAATCTGACACATTTAGTTATATATCTCGTTTGGCCAAGGGAAATCGCATATAAGGAATGCTCTGAAAGAAAATTGATTTACCAATGAGAAAAATCTGTTAGAAGTTAATAAATTTTAAAATTAAATCAGGAACTTCGTTTTTCGTATTGCAACCAAATGTACTATAGAAAAAAATAACTGAAGTTATGTTATAAGGAAAAATTTCCATATTGCTACGGGTTAATACAAAACATTAAGTTCAAGAATCGATAAGCCTTGAAACGATGCATTTGATGTATATGACCAGCACCTTTTTATGTTAACAAACATGTGTTAAAATAAACTCTTCAAGTTATATAACCATAAATTTATTCTGAGAGCGTCTCGTACCACTCGCTGTGCTAAGGCTTTCTAAACGTACGGATGTCAGCAGTAAGCAAGAAAGAAATGGAAAAATTTCTTACATCTAACTCATTGTACTGGTCGTGAGGCAGTTATAGCACTGTTGCGAAGAAATTTGAAAATAAGGCCAAATCTGAATTGAACAATACTGACGCCTTTGTAAATTTTAACAGGAACTGGTACTGACTTTTTTGCTGGATATCGCGCTTGTCCGTGTTTGAAAGGGTTTTATCGGACAAATCGATTCGCTGAGTGTCACAAATGTGGCAACGGAGGACTGTTATGCCAAGATGACTATGCGTCCTTAAAATCCGGATTTTGGTGGCAGTGGCGGAACGAGACGTTAAAAAATCAATACCAGAATTTCATACAAAATCTCTTGGCGCCTTCTCCAAGGCTGGATAACTTTTCCGTGCAATATCCGTATGCTATCCCTACACCTTACAGGTGCCAAGAAGAGGAATCTTGCAAAGGAGGCTTGGACTCGCCATGTGGAAAAGGGTATGAAGGTCCACTTTGTGCCGTTTGTAGTTCAGGATATCACAAGCGACTGCAGTCCTGTACAAAATGTCCCTCTAAGGCGTGGATTGCAGCACAATTGTCGATTATCCTGGTACTTTCATTTCTGCTTCTTACTTTTCTGATGTGGAAGAGAACAACCAAATTGGAAAAGGACCAAGGTCACCATCTCATAAATGTGTTTTTTTCTAGGCTCAAAATACTTATTGGTTTTTATCAGGTCACTAACGGCCTACTAGAAGTGTTCTCGTTCATTGATTGGCCAGACTCATTGCAAGCGGTCGCCACATACTCTGGAATATTTCAATTGAATTTGCTTCAGATCGCACCGGTTCAGTGTCTATTTTCAGGGTTACAAGTGAATGCCTTTGGAGAATTGCTTGTGTTATTAACACTGAATTTGATTGTCACCATTGCCTTGGGGACAAGTTACGTTATCTATAAGACGATCATCATGAAGAATCATAGTCTACAAGACGAGGAAAAGTCGACAAAAATCTCCCAAACAAAACAGCTTGTTTACAAAAATCTGTTTTTCTTTTTGTATGTGACATATCTGAGTACCCTTTCCAAAACAGCCAGTGTTATTCCATTTGCCTGCCGAAAACTCTGCAGAGATGACAGGGAGGAGATGTGTAGAGAATACGCTAAATCGGATTACAGCATCCAGTGCCAAGGATCAATATACAACTATTGGCTTATCCTGGCATACGTTTCGGCCGCCTACATCTTTTCCTTGCCTGCTGCTTCATTTATTATACTTTGGAGGCAACGAAGAGTGATGCCATCCAACATAGGAAGTAATAAGGATTCTGACACGGAAGTGATTGAGGGGTTGACGTTTCTTTTTCAAAACTATAAGCCCACCTCGTGGTACTGGGAACTAGTCGAAATGTCTCGTAAAGCTGTTCTTACGTCTGGCCTTATCCTCGTGGGAGAAGAGCGCAGGTCCTATATTGGTTTAGCGTGGGTCGTAGCTGGTATGTATGGAATGCTTTTCTCCTGGATGAAACCCATACAACTCGCTTCTGAAAACAGACTCATGTCGACATCCCTTGCTGTCACTGTTGTAAACTTGGGAATTGGTGCGGTGGGCAGAATCCCAGCAGAGAATACATCAGCCTTAACAGATAAACATAAGGACGAAATAGTGATCAAGATATTAATACTTTGTGCAAATACAATGGTGATTGCCCAAATGTTTGGTAAGAGAGCTGTGAGTTAAACAATTTATTTTCGCTGCTTCGTGTGAAGAACCCGATGACAAAAATTTAAACTAATGCAATTCGGACTTTAAATAAGCTATAGACTTCTTTCATAATGACGAGCACTATCGTTATTCTTCGGTGTGCATCCTAACAAGCCTTTTTGGCCTAACGTACGAGGGACAATTTTCAATTTTTCAACATTTCATCAAGGTTAGGCGGCATTTTACATGTTAATTAAAATAAACAGAAGGGCATTTAGGCCACCATTTACGAAAGAGGTCTTCTTGCCTATTTAATAACTATTACCAATACTGACACCATGTAGATATTACCAATTCAAATTGGAGAGAAGCCTTTTTACTTATTCAAACGAGGAGATAAAGGGGTAAAGGAAAAAAAATTGTTCAATCATACATGCAGTGAAATATCTTCTCTACTTAAGGGTCACCACTTCAATTACAAAAATTTCTTTTGCGATATTTTTTTTATTTTTCCCATACCTCAGTTCAGTACTTGACGTTTTTCTACGAGTTCTTCAAGAGGTGGTGTAAAAACCCACAATGGTCATTTTCTTGTTGTCTGGCTTTACTCATTCCTTTAAATGACTTGCAAGGAGAAATCCAAGAAGTGGCTGGTAGTAACTTGATGAAGACCCAGCTTGACTCTGGAATGTTGGAAAAACCGTCCATTGCTGACTCTGCGCAAGACAGTGAAGCTTTAGCCCTTGGCCTTTGTCAAGATAATGTCGAAATCAAAAATGAAATCAGTATGGAATTTCACAAGCGAGAGGAAGAAGTCATCAAAGAAAACCACAACCACAACCATCAATGGACGCAAACTGTAGTCTCGTCTTTCGCTTTGAGGGCAGTGCATGGATGGATAAGAAGTACATTTCCAATAGAAAAGTAAGTCCTGCAACAACTTAAACCTTAAACCTTTAAAACAAAGAGACACCGGTACATGAAAATCCCCTTTTTAGATAAATTTACGTACCGCTTGAAGACCCACCCGATCCATTTAATTTTAGCGAAGCTGGCGTAAGCGATATAAAACTAACAAAAGATCTTTTATGTTGCTAAAGTTTCTCACGATGCAATAAAACTTAATAATAAAACCTTGTTTGAAAGTCCCGTTGAACCCTTCATTTTTCTAGGCATATGTACCGCGAACCTCGGAAGCTTACCACTGAAGTAGAATGTAAAGTATCAGCTTAGCTGAAGACATGTGTGACTGATTAGACAGAGGGTATGGCAACGGCAAACCAAAAGGAAGACATGAAGAATAAAGCAGAGAGTAATGCATCAGCAAAGCAGAAGGGACGGAAGAAGAATAAAGTACAATTCTTTATCCTATAAATCAATGAGCTGACTGTGCGTTATCACATAAATCACGAAACAAGTTTAAAATGGGTGTTAAATCCCGACTTATATTCAGATAATTAAGTAGTTGTAGTCAAGATTATCTTGTTGACTAATAATATCATGGATACGCATCGAGCAAAGATCCCAATTCGACTTCAGCATAGTAAATACTAAATCATTTATACAATAAAATGTAATACGGCCTATCATAAAATGCAATAAATTGATCACAGAATTTAGTCTATTTAAATGTCAGGAGTTTTATGAATATTGCTATTTAGTAACTGACACATGTCAGCCTCGCTAATCCAATTCTGTTACAATAATCATAGAAACTCTGCAGCACACTTTATTACGGTCATGAAGACGGTAATTAGCCGATCAAAAGTTTTGTAACTATCAAGCATGGAAGAATTAACGTTAAGTCCTTTTCCTTCTTTGTATTCAAAGATAGAGTGAGGGAGTCGGTATATACACGTTGCTTAGCAGTTATTGAGCATGAAAACTACGCAACCTTGATAACCATGTTTAGGCCAGAGAAATTAAAAATAACCATGTTTAGGCCAGAGAAATTATCTTTACTACATGTTAGCGTGAAGTAACTAAATTAATTAGTAAATAAAAGACGTGTTGCTTTGTCCCAACGACGCCTCTTGAATCTTTCTGCCATGTTACACAAAACTCTGGCTAAGCTTTTTCACATTCCTGTTTAGTTTCATTGGGAATAAAATCAAGGGGCTGGTTGTTCAAAGCCAACAACAATCTATGATTGAAAATTAAAGTTAGTTTTCACATTCTAAAACTAACATCGTGTTCGGTTTATCTCATTGTGGGAAAAAATTGACGGTAATGTAACTAACACGGACATGTAAAGTTGCATCATGTCATTACATGGACCACTGTCTATGGAAAACTGTGTCAGCTCAGTTTGACATCAAACAGACACTCTTGTTAACTTAAAAGCTCCGAGGAAAACCTAAGAAAGCGACCTAGATACTTTAATTCAATGACGTAAACACTACGCAATTTTTGCAAAAAAACAATTCTTGATTGAAGACAAGCTTGCCTGTTACATATTAAGACACCACCTATTCTTCCTATTATTTAGGAGTGATGGTTAAACTGTGATTGTGCAACGAAAAGCCGGAGATACTGCCGCTATTATATGATTATACTGATACTTTCAAAGGCCGCACAAAGCGAGAAAAGATCTCAGAGCGAAACTTAAAAGCTGAGACCTTTAAGTTAAGCGATTCATTATACCTATCTTACCGATTGCTCAAGCTACACGAGTTTGATTTGGAAAGAAGTCAAACAATTGGCAATTTTAGAAAATCTTAGAAAAACTAAGAGGTTTGACAGCGATGTCCTACAAGAATAATTATTTTGGTAGACATCCTCTTTAAATAGATGGAAGATGTCGCATTGAGACATATCCATATTTCAAATGATAATCTATGACAAATATTGAAACATCATTAAACCGTTTCTCCGTAATGTTTAAGATATTTCATATAGAAATCGCTACGCTCTTATAAAAAATGTAAAAATATCTTGAACTGAAGTATAAAAATGGTACGGAAATTTTCAGGTCACACCAAGTTTAAATGTATCTGCCCAGCTGAATTTCGATCATTATGCTTGTTAAATATCTGAGAGCAGCTCGACATCAAACCAAAATTTTTGAATGAGAAATAATTGTTTATTCTAAGTTACCTCTCTTTTACTGATCAAATGTGATAAAAGCTAAGACTGTATGAGGGTGATAACAACTAGCCATAATTCGCTCACTCAATATCGGAAGGAGCAGTTTCTAAATATTTTTCTAGCCTTCCTTTGTTTGGCAGGAATCTTTGGCATAAACAATATATCAAAATCTGAATGAAGATTTTGTTTCTCATCAACTTAACAGTGGCTGTGTAACGGCTGCCACGCCTTTGCCACCGGACATTGATTCGCTATAAGTTTGTTTCGTGTCAAACCGCAATAATGACGTTACTGTTTGTCCATCAGGGACGTGATCGTTAAGTTCCACCCAGAACCGCATTTTAATTACTTGTCTTGCTTTGGGCGAACGATAAGACGTGTTTATCGGAAGAGCGCCTTTTGCCCACCTTATCTTGAATTTCGTTTTAGTCAAACTCTTACGAGCGAGACTGTTAAATTGTACCCTTATGTTCAGTGCGTTTTGCATGAAGGATCAAATAAATATCTCAGGGAATAGCCCTACGAACTACCCGCACACAAAGTAGCATTTAGGGATACGGACCAATTCCCATTAGGCTCGAGCCCATAGACACATTTTTACCTAAGTTGGTGCTGACATCTGTCCTCACAGAGGTTACGAATTTGGCTCAACAACAAAATTAACTTTCACTTGACTCAACAGTGGGTCTCAAAATGAAACCTGTTGTAATATTGTAATTTTCACGCCCTGTGTTGAATTTCATTTGCACGTGCTGCTAGACTCATTATATATTCAGTTTCGTTTGTACCTTGAAGGCACTTCATAGAGATTAAATGTCTGTTCAGTAACCGCTTAAACGTGTGGATCGCTGTGTTATTACATGTTGGCAGCGGTGGCCGCTTCTGCTTCGTTTTTAACCGTCTACGTTATACAGCATGCCCGGTGGTGATACCTCCAATGGACAGTCTGGTGCGGTAGCGCCGCCATCGTCGACCTTTCATCAGATTACTCCGCCGAAGTACCTTGACTTGAAACATAGTGGAGAAATTGCCGAAAACTGGAAGCTTTGGAAGGAGAAATATAACAATTATTTTTTTCATTTCTCGTTTGGATCGGGAAACCCCGGAGTTTCAGTTGGCGATGTTCAAACATACAATCGTAGATAATGCGTTGAAAGTCATCAAAACATTCAACTACGCCGAGGGGGAGAACTCGAGTGATTGGCGCGTTGTAATGGGAAAAATGGAGAAGCATTGCATCGGCGAAGTCAACGAAATTTACGAACGATACTATTTTAATATGCGAGACAAGCTTCCAACGGAGTCGGTTGATAGTTTTGTTGCCGAGTTGAGGAATCTGGCCAAAACATGTAATTTTTGCGATTGTTTCCGGGATAGTTTAATCCGTGATCGCATTGGGCTTGGAATTAAAAACGAGCAGACGACCAAGAAGTTACTGAGAATGAGAGATCTTACTCTGAATCGTTGCATCGACGTGTGTCGCAGCGAGGAAGTTGCTGAGTTGCAAATGAAGTCGTTATCTGGGCCGGTGGATAACATTAATCAAGTAAAGTCAAGTTCTAAAAAGCAGCGAGCTCCAACGCCGGTGGACGGGCGGTCGGCAAAGAAAATTTCCTGCAAATTTTGTGGCTATGACCATCAACCTGATAGGAAGATGTACCCCGCATGGGGAAAGAAGTGCAAGCGATGCAAGGAAAAGAATCATTTTGCCAAGAAGTGTAATAATATTGAGAGCGAAGAGGAGTTAGAGGAGATCAGCGTTGTACGAGTACAGGCTTTGAGAGGGAGAGCTGTGTATGCGAGGATGCTGGTTAGGCAGCAACCGGTGCAATTTCAAGTTGATTGTGGTGCAAGTGCAAATACTTTACCTCTGAGGTATGCTGAGGGTGAGGAACTCGACTCGTGTTCGCAAATGCTTGTCATGTGGAATGGAACTAAAGTGACGCTTGTCGGTTCCTGTGCGTTGCCTGTTGTGAATCCGAAAACTAATGAGAAGTACAAGGTCCGGTTTCTAGTCGTGAAAGAGGATTTGACCCCTCTGCTTGGCTTAAATTCAACGCAGAAAATGAAGCTGTTAACTGTACACAAGGAAAACTTTATTAATGTCGTGGAGAATGCAAATGATGACCTTTCAGCTAATTACGCGGATGTCTTTAACAAAGGTCTCGGAACACTTTCAGGAAAAGTTCGCCTGCAAGTTGACCCAGATTGCAAGCCTGTTATCCTTTCAGCAAGAAAAGTCCCTGTGTCTGTTCAGGAGAAGTTCAAAGAAGAGCTCCAAAGGTTGGAACGTCTTAAAGTAATCACTCCTGTTGATGAACCGACCGATTGGGTTAGTCAGATTGTTGTAGCTGTAAAGAAGTCCGGCGAACTGCGTGTTTGTATTGACCCGCGACCACTTAACACTGTCTTGAAGAGGGAACGTTATCAAATTCCCGTCATTGATGATTTGTTGCCCGACTTGACAGATGCACGTATGTTTACAAAGGTTGATTTAGCCTCTGCCTTTTGGCATCTGGAGTTAGATCGCGAGTCTAGTATGCTCACGACATTTGGTACGCCATATGGGCGTACCAAATGTCGTGAGCATACCAGAGACGGAATCTCGCTATGCGCAGATTGAAAAGGAGATGTTGGCAATCGTGTTTTCAGAAGAGAAGTTCAATGACTTTACCTTCGGTAGAAGAACTGTTGTCCATACTGACCATAAGCCACTTGAGTCAATTTACGCGTGATACACGCGTGGAAACATTCGACCAGCCGCGCGATCCGTTGTCTTCGGTGCCAGATGCACCTAAGTCGCCCAGTCCTTTACAGGCACCGAGAAGGTCCACGCGCGTCCGTCAGCCGCCCAAGCGTCTACAGGACTATGAGCTTACTTAAGCCTAGGAACTCTTTCCAAGGAACTGAATTTCATTAATATGTGCTTAGTCGTTTGTTTGTTTTTTTTCCGTTAAGTTGTTTTCTTATTTCTCTATAAAAGGGAGGGTGTTATAATATTGTAATTTTCACGCCCTGTGTTGAATTTCATTTGCACGTGCTGCTAGACTCATTATATATTCAGTTTCGTTTGTACCTTGAAGGCACTTCATAGAGATTAAATGTCTGTTCAGTAACCGCTTGAACGTGTGAATCGCTGTGTTAAGAAGAGCAAGAAAAGGTCTGTTTTATTGGTATCTAATGATGTAAACGTTGGCAATCAACAAAGGAAAATGAGGGTCAAATAGCGATCAAAACAACGTCAACCGGTCAAATATTGCGAGGTCATGCAAGAGAGACACAAAAATGTATCAGCCCGCTCCCTGGCCTTAGTTTGATGCAGTTCATGCTCAGTGCCGCCCTTGCAATAAAATACGTTGTCGTTGTTTAGTCCAACTTCAGTTCTTTTTTTCTTTGCAATGTCACCTGGCTAATTCACTGTGCCTTGATTTTTCTGTATCCTTCTGTTCATTCATTTACATATACCTCCGTCCGTCAATCCATCCATTCAACTATCCATCTACTCTTCAACCATACATTTATACATCCGTTATGCTACTATTCACATATCCATCCACCGATTTATGAATCTGTCAATCTCTGACCTCAATCATTCAACTGAATTTATTTTTTCGTGGATCTGTTTCGTCTTATATCGTTTGTTCGTTCCTTGATTGAAAAATTTTTCTTTTTTCATTTCTGTCTTTGCAGTGGCCGAAGAAATGAGACAACAACAAGCACACTTAAATGACCGCCGACTGCCACATCGCTTATCTTTATTTAGGTGTTTACTAGGAATTATCACATTGCCTTAGCTAAACAAGGTCTGCTTAGTTTTCTGAATAATCTTACTTTCTGCTGTCAAATGTTAAAGTTATTTTGTAAGTGTTGATGAAGATTACTACCTTGGTTAGAGAATATTAAGATAGGTACTCTACCCGATTGGGTAGAAAATATCAATTTTTGAGCCAGAGGGCAGCAGAAACATATCAATTCTCGAGCCAAAGGGCAGCAAAATCAACTCTCTGCAAAGTCCTGGATATTCAAATAACTACCCAAGGAAAATGGATTAGTATTTCAAGTTATTATTCCTCACGGTATGGCTATGGAATTTTCTTCGACCAGTTTGTAAAAATTTCCAATAATCATAAATTCACATTGATAAGATTTCGTTCAGACTCATTTCTTCAAGAAAGCGGATTCTCCATGTTTTTCAAAGCCGATTTACCAGTGTGTTTAAATAGCATTCATCCGTCGCCATTCCACAACTACTCTAGTCAGTGTGTATAAACGGTAAAATACATGTACGAAACAACGCAGTACTTCTTTGAAAAAAAATGAATGCTGTTCGGCATCGGCTTAGCCTTCTTGTCTTGGTGGAGTAAGAGTTCAAAATAAACATATTTTAACCAAAGAACGCCTGTTTATGCATAATATCTATTTTAACACTCGTTGCTCTCACATTTTGGATCATGGATTGTATGGCCATCATTTTTAAGATAAATCTTCAAACCTTTTTAATTTCAAACGTTGTTAATTCCTAGTGGTTAAGAGCTTGTGCAAATTGTCACGCAAGAAATTTGTGTTGAAAGGTGAAAAAGCATATATCAATAGCGCAACAACATGCATGACCTTCTGTTTAATGTAGTTGACTTTGCGGGTGATCTGTGTGTCGCTTCGTTTGTGCTTGTGACCAACTGTAAAGCTAGCAACAAGCTTAACTGGTCCTCCCAGCATATCGATGCCGCCCGTTTTGCGAGCGTTTCAAGGAGACGAAGTAAAGTGCTCTATGGCAGGAACTCCTCCTATGTACACAGGGATACTAAACGAATCAATGGTACTGGTGGACACAACAAGCACTCCAACTATCAAGTTACTTATGGCAGGAAACTTCTCTTGTGTGGCTACCAGAAATTATGGCTCAGACCTGCGAACTTACTCTGTCTTTGGTAAGCCGTTAAGGACGAGCTGCTAATTTCAAACACGCAAATGAATCAAGTAAACTACAAAGTTAACTTAATACACACAAGCAAACTTCTTGAGGTCATGAAGACTCAGTCTCCCGAGTTTCACTGTTATGCTGATGATACGTGTTGAAAAGTATCGAACACTGGGCAAAATAATTGAATAATAATCCCAAACTGAATGACGGCAAGAGTGAACTTTCGTGGGACACCACAACAGCAGTGAAAAGTGGATATTCTTATCGCTCTTATAGGTGACTCGGACAGAACCTATGCCTATCGCACGAAACCGTGGTGTCCGACTTGATTCCAGGCTTTCTATGACAGCACACATAACAATGACATGCAGCTCTTCATCTTTTTACATCTATAATATTTGCTGCATTTGAATATGACTCTCACAGCAGCCAACTGAGGATCACCTTCATGCCTTTATTACAAGCCGAATAGTGCATTGCCGTAATCTTCTGTATCGATTAATTCAGGAAGAGTCTGCAGCAAGTACAGTATGAATGCGCTAGACATCTTCAGAGAACACATTTTCTGCCACAACCGATTATGGTCATATTATTGAAGTGCACTAAACATAGGTAGAGTCAAATATTCCTCTTCACCAGTTGAAGCTACAAAAATATTAGGACTTTAACTTGTTTGTGTTAACACACTTACCATCGCTCTCACATTCCTCCTTTAGCACCGAATGAATGGCTCACTAAAGGTATCGTAACGGAGAACTGCTTTTTTGATTTTTGCTTAAGCTTTTGTTAATATCTCGTTTTGGCTTTTGTTTTGGTCTTTCCTTATTGTATTTTTATAGATTGCAGACCCACCTGTCCTCTCGTTACAAAATGGCCATTCGAAGGACTGACGTACCTCTTAGGGACTGTCTTTAAGCGAATAATGACAACCTGTACCTTTATCGTTTTTTGCAGTCGGGAATTCTCCCTTTCCCATATTTGCTTTTTTCGTTCTTTTTTTTTTTTTTTTTTTTTTTTGTGACTGCTTTGATCGCTAATGCGTATCATAAACAAATGTTCAAAATATTTGGTCCGAAATTGGGCATTAACGGAAAAGTGTGCAAAAGAGTTTTAGAAAAATTTACTGTCTGAGAAATTTAGATCTAATACTGTATTTGTATAAGCTCGACTCCAAAAACGTTGAATAAACAGTTTTTGGATTTATTTATTTTTGGGAGATTCATTTCCGTTACAAAAATGTAAGTACTTTCAATATAATAACACCATTGATTGAGCTGCTGTTATTTTCCGTGTCCTATCATAAAGTCCTTATTATTGTAGAGCTTCAAATTTCCTCTGTGCTAATTCAGTTGACTTTTCCATAGGATTTTATCTTCAAATGTTATAGGGTCTATTCCAGAAGGATTGTGTGCTAAGCTGACCCCTCTGAAAGTCCTGTACGCGCACTATGACACACTTAACCTAACTAAATGTCACCTGTCGTATCCTTTCCTAAAATAATTTCCATAGATTAATAAAAATGACACCATAAAGCACCACTGTTCTTTAGGTTGACGGATTTGTGTTTCATTAAATATGAACAAAGAAGATAGCAAACGAAGTAAAACTGGCCGAACCTGACGAAACAAATCGTTTTCATGATACCAACTTGAAAAACAGTCTCTCTAAAGGCGGTCCGCTGCATTTCGGTCAGGGAAATCGATATTCTTTAAAGTTTGCTTAAAGATCTATCTAATTCCGAAAGTCATTGAAACAGCTTTCGTTTTCATATCCCTCGTAAACTTTTTTTTTCAAACCCTGAAGGCCAATTTTTGGTGGTAGAGTACCGGGCTCGTCATCACACAACTCTTTAAATCCAAAGAATTTTTAGCTTCCACCAGCCAGAAGAAAACTTTCGTAGGTGTAAAGCAAATTATTTTCAGCTCGCCAACTAAGATTCATATTGATTCACCCCTTACTTTACCGTTGGCGCCATGGGCTTTATATTGCACATTTTCATCGCGGTAATGCACCAAAGCCCAACTTCTCCAGAGCAATATTTATTTTCAGATTTATTAAAAAAAAGGGTAAAAAAAGCTTGAAGATACAAAAGCATGTTGTGGCTAATGCGAAAAATGAACAAAGTCGGCAAATAAATGATGTACTCCGCATCAATAGAAAAACATTTTAGAGCATGTACCAATAATAATTATTTATCCATAAAATTAACTCTTAAAAAGGCACTTAAGTATAGGAGAAGTCTCAATCTTGAAGCGTTACCTACAACCGCCTATCTAGTGAAATCTATACTTTTGGTCCGTCTTCTGCATAAAGCTATTCAAAGTTATAGTTTCGTTAAAAATAAACTAGCTGAAAGTGAAAGGCTCAAAACTAAAAACTACAGGCAAATTAAAACAGTATGGTGCACTATTTTCATGCTCTTCTACCTTAGTAGATATGAGTAGAGATATTGCTTGGAATAATTGGGGCGACGAAAATGAGCAGTTAGAAGCTGTGACTTCGTTTTTGATGAAACTTTAAGGAGATTTCATTGCGCACAATGAGAGATGTCAAATGTCAAAAAAACAGGGACATTATTCTTCTGGTACATTTGCAGTCTAACGTCCCATTTTCTTAAAAAAATAAAATTTCTAGTACCACTAGACAATTTTTAGTACCTTAGAAATTTTAACAAGATTAAATGCTTTGTTGTTGCATTCCATTTCCTATCATGAAATCCATAGGGAATTATCTTCAAACGCAATGAGCCATGCTCCAGATGGAGTATTTGCCAACCTGACCAGGCTAGAGTACCTATGCGTGACATTTGAAATGCCTTGACTTACCTTACAAAATGATTTGTTTTGGCACGCACTGTGGTCTTTTCATTCGTCTTTTAGCAAGACTCACGCAAAGACATGAGACAAAGGGAACAAGAATATCAATAGCAATGGGAGGGAGGGTATAAAGAAAAGTCAGCTGTTGAGTTCAGAGGTTTTGTTCTAAAAACCTTAATAACTTGGCTCTCTCGCGGTGTCTCCTGTCTCGTCTCCTACTTATATAGAGATCACTTTTTGATATGACATGGTAGAACTACTGAGACCGCTTCTGATATTCCTGTGATAAGGCAATCTGCTATTTGAGTAGTCTCCATGTACCTTAATGCGAGATACGTTTAAAAAATTAACAGAAAAAGGAAACCGTAAAAATACTGTCTGGAGAGGTGAAATTGCACATTCCTATGCGTGAGGGCCCATGGCGAGGAATCTTTGGGGAAGATGGCCCCTGCGTCAAAGAAATCTCGACCTTAGTCGATATAAATGATATTCCAAGAAAGCTTTTGTGAAGGGCTCATTTCAGTCTCTTCTTAAAGCAGTCCCGTCATATTTGACGATCGAACTGTCTGCATCAGTGTTTTGAATGATTGAGAATTCCTCGTGGACTCGACGAAGTCATTTTTGTGGAGAAGTTTGGGCGAAATGATCCCTGGGGTTTGCGGAAGGCCATTCTTTTTATTCGATGCTCCTTCCCTGCACAAGTTGCTTCTCTTTTTGTTGTTTTTTCTTTTTTTGTTTGCAATTTATTTTACTGTTTGTTTGCTTTTGTTGTAATTAATGCCCTAGCGCGACTGTCGCTTGGTTCTTAAAGTTTTTACTTTCGCAAGACAGAAACGAGGAGCGGTGTCGTGCAAGGTAGTTTGCTAAGTATTATGAAACGTACCAGCTCTACCTAATAAAAAATGTGTAAATAAAATTGTGTTTGTAATTTAAATACATCGTTTTACCATGATACACTGTTCCGTTTTAGTTTGACAGGGTTATATTCGATTAAATAGAAACAAAGATAGAAAACGAAATCCGAGTACCCTTCGTTGAATATGCTTATGTTATTTTTATTTCTATCTTAAAATACTCCTTGTCCAAAGCTTTATTTTCCCCCTTGGCTCATTTCGCGGATTTTTTCCCAAAGGGATTTATCTTCAAACGCCATAGGCTCTCTTCCAGAAGGAGTGTTTGTCAAGCTAATCAAATTATGGTTCCTGTGGGTGAAATTGAACTTATCTTATATGCTCTGTGTTAGCGTATGCAGCAGTCTTTTTATTTGCTTTCAACCCTTTAAAAGGGATAGAGGCATGGGCTAAGCGGGACTCCGACGAAGACATAAGAGGAAAAGAACCTAAAAATATCAAATTCATGAGGAGGGGAAGGGAGGAAAGCAGAGACCTGCTTCTGAATCCAGAGATTTTACCGAACGCTCCTAAATGCTTTCGATGTTTAGGGCATCACCTGACATGTCATGTATTCACTGGAAAGAAAATTGTTTTCCCCTTCCGAAACGAGGTGAAACTCCCAAGCAAATATCGCAGAAACAAATTTCACCATCCAAAAAATTAATTATTTATCGGTATGGCAAAGCAGAATTCTTTGTAGAAATAATTAAGACCACCCTTAAGCCATGAGGTTCTGGACCAATAGCTAAGAGGTCGGAGTAGCCAATCCCTAAAGCGTTGAATTGTCTTGAGAATAGAAAATGTTTGCAATTACTTATTGGTCGATCAGCAGTTCAATGTAGGAAATACAACAAAAAAAGTAACAAAAGCTAAAATCAAGACAACTAAAGCATACAAGCGATATAAATTAAGGCGTCACCCAATCCAAAACAATGACGGCAGTCATTCCTTCAGGTGGCCATTGAATTACACCGAGCTTGACCAAGCTGCTGCAACTCCAGATTGGAAGCCTTTAAAAACATTCTAACACTACTTCAAGATCGAACAAAATACCTAGCCAATCTTAAATCACTCAAACATGTCGCAAAATTCTGTAGCGGCAGCGTTGGTATCGACCTGGAATTTGTAGATAATCTTACTACACGGATATCGCTAAACCACAAAGAAACAATCCTTGCTTTACTATGCGATATTTAGATTGCTTTCACTGAAGGGAAATGTGGAATGACATGTTATGTATTTTTTACTTGACGACAACACAACGACAAGCTAAGCTACTGAGATACTCTTTATCGGAGCTCAACGACGGGCTTTGTTGTGACGAATGGTAATTAGCCAATCGGATGTGTTGCAACTGTTAAAGAGCTAACCTCAAACCTTTTTATTCTTTTGTAGTTATAATGTGTTAGAGAGCAGCTGAATATATGTTGCTTTGTATTGTCATAAGCAAGAAGATTGTTTCACATAAAGAGCTGCGCCTACTCTGGATGTATCATCTTTACTAGCTGTCTGAAGGAGGTGACTCCGCGATTCGATATAAAAAAAGACTGGCGCCTACGTTTCAAAGAAGCAATTGAGTCTTTACCCATAGCTGCCTTTTGATGCCATTTAAAATAAAATCATAATACCTTTTTTCCAATTAGTAGCAATACAATCAAATTTCACTTTCGCTTTCTTAGTCTAACATTTTGTTTTTCAAGTGGGAGAGGAAAAGGCCGCGTGGGCTTAAGTCTCCACACAATCCCACTAGTGAGTATTGCAAAAAATAAATCACTCAAAATGAAATTTGAAAAAAAATTAAAATTCGGAATTTTGAAACGACCACTCTTAACTGACAGACCCGCAAGTTTTTTTTAATAAAATTCTCACGTCTAAATAAACTTATGCTAAAAAAGGTTTATTTTAAGTAGCCTTTTTTTAAAGTCTACTAACTTTTCAGGAAAAGGTGTATTTCATGATAAACCCATTTCGATGAGTTCACGATTCAGTTTGGTTTACAGGACGATTCTTGATAAAGTTGTTCTGTTTATCCTTGATTTCTGTTGTTAACTCAATGAAAATGAATTATACCTCTCCCGTGAATTCGCTTTGATATCATTTCAGGTAATTCAAAATTATGCAAAAAGAGAGGGCACTTCGGTGGAAAGCTTAATTACTTGTGTTTGGAAGACTTTGAAGATACAATAGAAGGGTGGCAGCATTACTGAAGGAGGTGAATTTCATCCGTTGCGCTCAAAATAGGAAAATAGTAAACAGTGTAAGGACCGCATAGGCTCCTTATTACTATCAGGTTAGAATAATTATATTCAAGAGATAATTCAAGTCAAAACAACCTGAATTTGAACGCCAGGCGCTAAACGGAGGCAAATTTTGATAAATTTTATTGCCAATAATTCTGGTTTCGGGAAAGCCTTCCATGTAGAAATTTTTAGGGATCAGTAAAGATGAAACCTTGTAACTTTTCAGGAAATTTTATTTTAGGAGCCAACCCTGATACTGCATAATTTTGCCTAAATTCATTCGATCATGACAACCTACTTAAATGCAAAAGTTCTTGCCGGGGAATATCGTATAAATAATAACACCTGCTCTGGCTGTCAATCAGTCTTGGTATACAAAAAAGAGATATGAAATAGACCAATGACAACTGCTCTCGTGGATTCGTGTCTTGATCTACTTAGGTCAATGTTTGGTTATTTAATTATGATGCTCATTTCTCATCAATGTTAAGATTTAGCAATAGTACCTTCTATTTCTTCATAAGTTATGAAGGATTAATGTTATCTCTTACTTATGTCGGAAAGATGATTATCTTAATTTGGCAGACAAGCGCGGACCGCCTGTGGATTTCTGAATATCCTGTAGTTCGTAATAAAATATTCACCTCCTTAAAAAAAAAAAAAAGAAAAAAAGGAATTAAAAACCAGGAATCATTGATTTACAAAAATATCAGTTACTCGCAAATTTGTTATTTGCAATTCATTATTTTACATTATTTCCGTGCAAAGGGTGGATGTAATAACTGCTGACAATTTACCTTGGAACCAGATCATCAAACTTATTTCAGTTTTTTCAGGACCATGGTAATCTCTTTAATCCGTTTCTTACGTTTCTTTACTGTTGATAAACCCAACTGTTTCTCTTCATCTTCATTTCCTAAACTAGACCTCTGATCCTTATTGATAAGTTTCATATTTGATAATAAAGACATGAAAGAAAGAACTTGCGATACTCGGCAAGAAGAACTAATGGCTGTACATCAGAAGTGGCCAGAAAATTTAAATGATAAGTGTCTCGGCGTCCTTGGTTGAAAAAAACAAAGCAACAATTCATATACTTCATTGACTGAGGGTAAGGTCATTACGGCCGATTTTCGGCGTTGGTCCATGGCCAATATCCAACCATAATGACCGAAAAAACTTTCTCAATTCAGGACTTATCATATGGGAGGGAGACCAAAAAGATTACTTTTAGTGAATTCCCGAAATTAGTCGTGGCCTTCGTTTCAATTGATCTAAGGACGTGCTCCGCAATTTCCGTTGATGTAAAAACTTCACTTCATATGACAGAAGAACTACGAAGTAAGTAAACAGCTTTAAACATATTTTTTTTGTGGACTCAAAGCGGGTAATCCCTGAGCAGCTAATCAAAAACCACGATTGGATTTGTCTTGCCGGCTCACTAGACTAACCTTTTTCAACTATCTTGACTCGTGGTTGTTGAAAACGGCTGGCAAACTCCGCATTGTCTTGTTTTGTTTAAGATGTAAGATTACTTCTTGAACAAAATAAGACAATATTTTTTATTATGCCTGGCGTAACCCTCAATGCAATCATTTAGTTTACAGCTTAACATTCAAAATCTACAGCTTGGGAGGAATCTTCAACTCGAGCTCTGATGTGTAGGTGACGATGCCGGAAAAACTGGAGATAAGTTTCTGAAAGGAAAGTTCAATTCTTTGTGTCCTGACTAGTTTCTTACACAAACTGAGAAGAATTGGTTTTAAGCGTCACAGGATGACTGCTATAGCAATATAACCTCATGCATGCTTAATTACTTATGGTAGAAAAATAAAATTTGAACGACAAAAGAAACACAGACAGTTTCATACAGAAGACGTTAAATAGCAAGAAAGTTCCAATCCAGTAATGAAATTATATATTCATGGAATTAGGCAAAAATGAACTGCGCAGAAAAGAAACTTGATTTGACATAAAAGACCCAGGAATGTCCCTACTTCTCTGTAATGTCATCCCGCATTTTTTAAACCTATCATGAATCATTTTATTTTTATATTCTTAAATCTTTTCATAGATCTTTAAAATAAATTTAGGCTCTTCAGCGACTAAATACGATGAAAAAAAAACTCACACCTTACAACAATTGCTATTTCGCTTATAAATTTATCAGAAATTCGCCCTAAATCGAGCTTATTGTCATCATGAAAAAGTGATGTAGACAAGAAATGTGCTCGAATTTCTCTCCGTGGCAGTTTTCCTATTTTGGTGTGAAAAGTTTTAAATGTGGAATTAGAGACACTGCGCTAAGAGGCGGATGCTGTTGATTAAAAATGAGATGGATTCGAATAATAAAAAAATTACCATTACAAAACATCATCAAGGGTCCATTATCTGTTTCCCCCGATTTGCATTGTGTCCATCGAGTACGTCCACTTTATTGACAGTATTTTTTTTATCTCTCGCTTTTAATTTCCCTATTTTTTTGCCGTTAAGTGTCAACAAAAGAAGTCGTTTTGCATATATTTCGAGTAAACACCAATTACACTCGTGAAGGAATTCAAATTAACTTCCTTATGATTGATTTCATTCAGAGTTGTAACAAGAAAAAATTGTGCTCACATCAGACTTAGAAATCTCGTAATTATCTATGCTTTGAGAAAACATAGATTGTTTAGAACAGATGCAATAAATATTTATTTTTTTCTTGCAATAAACGTTTTGCTTTCACACTTGTATCAAATAAGAAGCCTTGAAACAATAAACTGTAAATGCATAAAGCCATTTCTCCGTTATCTTGTCAAATTTCAAAAAGTGTCTTTCGTAGAAGAAAATTATTAGTTTACCAACTTTTCACCTCTGTATTGACGCTCGCGCAGGTGCTTTCGAATAATTATATTGATTGTCGAATGACGCCGAGATAAGCTTCGCAACACTTTTCTCTCTCAGTTTGATGTAGAGTCTAGCTCTTGGTTGTAGCAATTTTATTATTTTCGACAGACCTTCATTTTATAAACAAGAGTTAACACATAACTTTAACAAGCCGACTAAATCACATCAGCGATATGAATTAAAGCAAACAAACTATTTTTCGGTCATGAATTTAAATTACCTTCAACTCTGAATAATTCAAACTAATTTACAACCACCATCGAGACGGAAAATTGGATAAATTGGCCCATGCGCGTTCCATTCGATTTCATTTATTTCCCTTCGGCTAAAACAAATTTTACGTCTGTCTTCTTATTGTTCGCTGACACTCAACACCTTAGACTAATACAAACTTATTTCCAAGGCAAATTTCACACAAAGTAATGGAACTGGAATCGATATGCGTTGCCATTTGGACCAAGAAGCTTCTAGCACCTTCCTCAGAGCTTTTGTAATGGATTGGCAGACTCTTGACGAGTTTAGCTCGAAATATGGAAGAATAATAATACAATAATACACAGCGTTGATAAATTTTATTACCATGCCAGTAGCATCAGCGAATATGAAAACAAAGCGCCTGATAGCCTTGATTATTGCCGTCTTCAATGTTCATCTCCATCGTCAGACAACAAGTGAAGAAATAAGGCTGGGAGCTCTGATAGCATGGAATGGAACTTGGCCAGTGGGACCGAGAATGGCGTCAGCATTGCTTGTTGCCTTTGATACGATAAGGAACGATCAGAATCTGCTACCAAAATATAACTTTACATATTACTGGCAAGATAGTGCCTGTGATACCGGTGCCACGCTGAGATCCATGGTCGATTTAAAAGCGAAGAAGCCACCAATTCATGCCTTCATCGGGCCAGGCTGTTCTGTAGGATGTATACCGGGGGGTTATTTAGCAGCGCACTGGGAAAAGCCTATGATATCGTTCGCTTGCGGTGAATCTACGCTTTCGGATAAAAAGAAATATCCAACATTTGTTCGAACAGTTGGAACTTACGCACAAACCGGAAAGTTTTTTCTGAAGATCATGCAGAAATATAGCTGGAGTCGTGTTGCGATTGTAGCGTCCACCGAAAGTTTATGGTCACAAGTTGCTATGTTTGTGAGAGATGAAATTGATGGTAGCACAAGCGGAAAATTCAGTGTTGCTTATTTTCACGTATTTAGCCCTGGTATTACAACTGACTTGCAATTCAAGACCATGTTGCGTTCTGCAAGAGAAAAAGCACATGGTGAGTAGATAATATAGCCTAGACGTATTTACCACACGAAATTCCACAAAACAGACAAACAAAGAGTAAATTCAATCCATGAGTAGTTTAACACCTTCAAGACGGGGAATTAATTCAAACAATATCATTGGTTGTTGGAAGTTATGTCAACTATACCAATGCATGTTTCGTTTCGTCATTTTTGTTTTAGAGCAGCCGCTATCTTTAGGGATATGAAACCTCCAGATACGAAAAATTGTCCTTTTTGCCATAAGTGAGAAATTTAAAATGCTTTGTTATTGCGAACAGAATACACAACTTAGAAATATTTTACTGAAAAATTCCTTTTGATCTTTTTCATAGTATGTCGTAGTGCTGATCGAGAACGTTACAATTTCGTAAGAATAATTCATTAAAGTTCAAGAGAACTTTTCTTCAAAGATACAATTATCTTTTCGAATAGTCAATTCGCCATTATTATTTTAGATCTTTTAAACAATTGATTTATTCCAACGATACGCGTCAGAGATCATTCCTCAATATTGCAAAATTTTTCCCGCCTTTACTCACGTTAACAAAATCATTCCGCTCCAATCATTTCCGCAGTTTGATGACAGGCATTATTTTCTACCGAATTTATTCTCTTAGATTGTTAATATAAGGGTAAAATTCAGTACCTTGCTATATCAGCAGATGGTGAGCAAATTCTCTCTAAGGTTGTACTTAAGTGTTTTATTGAAATGTAAATAGAGTGCGTCATACCACTCAGCTTAAAACCCCAAATTGCGTCGGAAAAACGAAATTACGATCGAAACTGTTTTCAATTACAGACCAACTGTTCATAATAGATTTAAAAAGCGGATCTCTAGAATACGTTTTTCAAACTTGATTAATGCAGGTAAATTACAGGAGATGAAGTATTAAACGAACTGAAGTCTGTAGCTGCTGGGTTAAACCAATTGATTGTTTATTTATTCTCTCTTTCTGGTGAGTTTGTGCGATCTGCATAATAAGCCACTCAATAACAAAAGAACAATAAGGGTGCATATTACGAAAACAATGACATTCTTTAGGGATTCACATGTTAAAACATCATTAATAGAAGATTAAGAATAGAAATAAAACAGTATTGGTTCACAGATATCGATTGGCTTCTAGGAGTGTTAACAACTAATGATATCATAAGAGAACATCTTTATTGTATTGACGGAGAACTCGCCTATTTACCAAGTCGGTACTATTGAAAAACTTTGACGACAATCGAACAAGAGGTGGGTAGGTGATTATGATAGGTAAATACATCTATGAAAAGATTCCTTGAACCATGAAATCATTAGAGTTAAAGACATTTTTGAGGTGAGACATTATGTAGCATATGAATATTAGCATCCGCTGTAATTAAATGAAACAAAATTGGGTGAAGTAATATTGAGGAAACATGACGTCAAGTCGTTGGTTTAATAACATGGTATGCGTCTAACGGTGTCTTGTTGGTCTTATTGTCCAGAAATAATATATTGATCCGAGTCATTTCATTGTGCCGTAAGCTGTTGCTCATGCAGTATAAAAAAATTGTAAAGAATTTTTACAATGTCATTTATAAGGAGGACAATGTAGGAAACAAACAGGATATGGGAAAATTGGATGACAATTGGAATGAAGACAGTCTCTGGCCACACTACTAAGGACTCAAAGAATCCTTTAGCAGTGTGACTGATTTACACATAAATATTTTTTTTCATTCTCTATCGACCAAAATGCTTCAAGATATCCTTTTTCATTCAAACTTACAGTTCGACTCTCCTCGAAAGAGTGAAGATTTTAAGGTAAAACTCACAAAATAATTTACCGACAGAAATATCTCTTCAACTCAGAGGTTTATAAAAAACAAGCTAAATATATAATAAATATTTTTTGTTTTAATTTGAGGAAATTGCAACCCGCTCGAGCTGTCCAAATAAAAACAAAAACACCAGGAATAGTAGAGAAATTGATATCAGTGATTATGAAAATCGTCATGTGACACCATTTTCGAGAGTTTAAATCTAAGTCATTGAAATTATAGCTGCAAAATTAAAAACAAAAATTAAACGCCTGGAAACAAAACTTATTCTATATCTTAAATAAATAGCCGATTTTAATAGAAATGCCACTAAAATTTAAATAAGAAACATTTTGTTGAATAGAAACGTTTTTATTTAAGACAAAAATTGCATTAGATTTACAGTTCCCCCTCTTTTTACGGTATTCTTCAAAACCAGAGCCGCAGCAGAGAATAATTTCCCTTCTGAAACCTCACTCTAAGCAAAAAATTTTGATATATGTTTCCATTCTGTTTCTTTGCACGTTTTGTATCATTTTCGTCTTCGTCAGTTAGTTTTTGTGGTAGTTATTTTACATTTCAAAGCTCTTACTCAAGCTATTCTTTTCATTTCTTAGTGTTTATCCTTGTTGGTTACGGAAGCTCCATCCGGCAGATCATGTTAAATCTATACGACTTAGAAATGATTTCAAAAACATACGCCTACTTCACCTTTGAAATCACACCTGAAAATTGCAAGGGGAACGACGGAAGAGACCAAGAAGCTTGTAAAGCATTCGAAGGCCTAATGGACATCGCCAACTATGTTCCAACAAATGAGGAATATAAGGGGTTTGAGAAAAAAGTTAAACAGAAAATGCCTGAGTTCGCTGGCCTAGGATATCACATGTCACAGAATGATGAGGTAGGAGCCAAGGATCAATATGTAAATTGGGTCCGAATTTAATTTAATCGTGGATAGAAAAATATTTGTTTTGCCCTTCTGAACGCGTTTTCTCAATGGGGTTAGAAAGGCAACGACAACACTGTTCTCACCTAGAAGTTCAAGAAACATATGTACTACGTATAATCAAACTGTCTTATTATTTTCTTTAGACGGGCATTTTAAAAGTTAGCTTTGACATTTAAGGGATCCAACAAGAGCTGTTGAGCCTTTCTATTGCCCGTAACTTCTTGGTATTTTCAAGTCACTTCCTTACGAAGGTATGGAAGCTGATCCATCAAATTGGAACTCAGTGGAACTTTGTCCCTTAATAATCAGTTTTCAAAAGTCTGCATAAGTCTGTTAGAATGCTTTCCAATCCTAAACTACACAATACATATATGTGCGACGGTTGATTAGCCACTATGATACTCGGAAAGACAAAAGACCAGAATTTTACGTCAAAGCTTCAGAAAAGCTTTAACTATGTACCTTACACTCTTGAACTCGCGTAAGTAGGGACTAAATAGGTTTCAGAAACATGAATTTTCATTTCAAAGAATAGATAACAGAGATGAGCCAATGTTTAACACTCCAAAAGACTGCGTCCTGTGCTGCATGTTTTTGAATATTTCTTGTTCTTCAGGTGGATATATACGCGGGTTTTCTTCATGACGCAGTGGTATTGTATGCCCACGCAGCTCATGACCTTTTACGCGCTGGAGGAAACCTTTCAGATGGGGAAGCACTGATCAAGCACATGACAAACAGAAGTTTTCAGGGTATATAAATATGATGCGATTTAACCTTTATTTCATGATTGATTGTGTTCGTTCTTATATGTATGTCTGGTTTTTGTCATCCTCTATTTACGGTCTGAATTTGTCTGTGCGTATGCTCTTCTTCTATTGCCGCTCAGTCTCCGTTGTGTCGATCCTCAGCTACCATCCATTAAATAGATTTTTATCGCGCCAGATTAGTCTGAGTTAGCAATTAACTGTCTCAGTCATGTATTTCATCTCACTGTGCAAAATGTCAACTGGAGCCACTCCCATCAATTGAAACATGTAAACATGAGTCCATGACATCGAAACGCATTGCATTACCTTTGTTCGGAATCTGTTGTCTTTCTTCTAAGCTATCATGACTTCATGGCCAGCAGATTTTAGAGTTATGCAGTGAGTCCGTAAAAAAGGATAAACTGAGCCCTGAAAACGAATCGATAAGCCAGGAGAGGAGGAAGATCAAACAGCTCCCCTTCTTGTTCTCGCAACTCCGCTATCTTCAATTTCAGTGGTTCTGCAGCATTTCGCTGAAAGCGCCAAACGGGCTCTCTGTTCGATTTGCACGATCGATTTTGCTTTAGTTCAAGTCGTTTATCAATCTGCAAATACGCTTAAAACGCTCGAATTGATCAAGCATGATGTTTCATCTTTGGCAGGTGTTTCTGGGCAGGTTTTTGTAGATGAAAATGGCGACAGAACGATCACCCTCCAAATGAGGAACTTTCACAATGGCGAGATGGTTCGTGTTGCGAACTACTTTCGGCACTTGGAGGAACTCGAGTTCACGGACACAACGACTGTTTGGCCGGGAGGGTATGTAACTGCCCCATCGGGAAGACCTGAGTGTGGGTTTAACGGAGAATTATGTTCGTCTCCAGGTATGATGATGCCGATTTTCCCGGTGTAAAGCAACGTACTACAGTAATGTTTGTCAATTCATTTTATATAATAAGCTAAGTTATGCACGCATTCTGATTGGTTCTCACTTATGATCTATTGGAGGACAGACGTATAGATGACGTCATCATTAAAACTTTTTTAATTCTTTATTATTTAAAACAAATAGATTCCAAGTTGCCGTGCGTCTGTTCAGTAATAGATCACAGAGGACGTCAAACTGTGGTAAGTGGTAGGTAAGTAGTGATCTATTACTGAGCAGACGCACGGCAACTTGGAATCTATTTGTTTATTAGACATTTTCCGAAAATGAACATGATATAAATTGACAACCTTCATAACAAACGAGGTGACGTCTGTCAGTTCGAGTTATAACCGCCAAAATCTTTCGACCATTTTGTATCCTGATAATTCTATTTTAATAAAAGATATTTAAGGGTTAATAATTCCATTTTTAGTACTTCCTTAAGGTTGCTGTCGACAAAATATGGACCAAATTCGTCCTATACACGTTACTTTTCAAGAATCCATAGAACAATGTATATCACTGTAGAGCTTTTAAAGTATAGATTATGAAAATAAAAATTGTTCACAGATTTCGTTTTGGCAGGCGCCCGCGAGCCTTTAAACACAAAACTGACGGTGTTACTGGATTACCGGCCTACCAAAGTATGTGAGGCTTTTTCGAAGTTGAAGTTGGGCAATAGATGACATTTCGGTTGTTGCCACGTTCCAGGACGTTACGGAAAATATATTTCGAATTCCGTTAAAGCGTCAAAGAATTTTGTGTGTTAATATCTGAAGAACATTCAGCCAGTTTTCATGAAAATTCAACAAATCGACATACCCCATTAATTCGTTTAAGTAGAGGTAACTCGAGTAATTACAGGCCTCGAGCTTTAGCCTCCAAAGAAACTCACTGTTTTCGCACCTGTAAATGCGGCAGCCGACCAACAAAAAGCAAAATTGAGCCCCCAGGTAAGTCTCGTGACAAGGAGCTCCTTTGAAATTGGCGGGAAAGGTCATTTTGCGAAACAAGGAACACGGATCGAACGCAATCCAAAATTAATCGGGAAAAGCATAAGGAAAAGTGGGCAAAGAAAGCTAGAGAATAAGAAATTCCCTTTTGTTCTGCGGGGCAAGACCCCTGTATAAACAAAATATGCAAATCACTATCCCGGACGAAAGCCCGCGGCAAACGTCAACAATCTACTGAAGGCCTTTCCGATCATAACAGCTTTCGCTCTTCGTTACAGGTTCCCTTAAAACATTCTTTCGGCCGTATCTCGCGTTCGTTGTAAGATTTTACTTTTTTTTCAGGCAAAATTAACTGAACTACTTTCTCTAACTAATGAGCAAACTACAAACAGATTTTGAAAAATTCGACAGTAACGTCAAGGTAGTCGTTTTGTCCTAAAAGTTGCCTCAGTTCGCCTTAATCAACTAGGTTATTAATAATTAGCTGTCACAACGTAGCACAATGTAAGCTAATCAGCCCCAAATGGTCAAATAGATTAACAGCAGCTATACTCTAGGATTGTCGTTTGAAAAATTTGGAGTGCAGCAAATATCAGTTCGTAGTTGTGATCGCTGAGGAGGTTTTGTCGAAGCCATTTCTTTCCTAACTGGAAAAAAACTACTTCACTTATCGGCTCTACATGTGTTTGTTTTAATCGGAAGACAGCGCTTCCGGTTTTTAATTCCACTCGTTTTGATTAGTTACCCGTTCATTTCCGGAAATGTAGTGATACGCAACTAATCAGGCGGTGTTTTGCTTTTCAACAGCCTCTTCGGGCAGGTGCCTTCTTGCCCTTCCCCCGACCCCTACCCCCATCATCTACTCTAACTTCATATCAAGTATGTCTAGTCGGATAAACGATCGCTCGAGATCGCAAGCTCATAACATTATCTTGCCCTAATAATACGCCTGCATTGCAGGCTACCCCTCGGCCACAAATGTTCCTTAAATATCGGTAAAACGTTTGACAAAAACGTATTTCAAATTAGATCAGTTGAACTGCAAATTAAAACTCATAACTTTCTCGTTACTAGCCAAGGCTTAATGGTTGTGTTCACTTCGCTCGCTCTAAGCGATAAAATCTCTACGTTTATCTTTAACTGTAAGTAGAAAGAAAACGGATCTTTGAGCATTTTCTGTTGTGAAACTCTGAGTGCGGCGAAAATTTTACACATGTGTAAATTAAGTCCGTCCGCAACCTTTTACGTTATTTCTAATCAATAAGCATCTTGTCGTTTCATTTGTTAGTTATTTGGATGATCGCTGTTTATGCAATCTCAGGCTTCGTGGCTGTTATGATTTGTATGGTGGCTTTCCTGCTTTATTACAAGTAAGCAGTATATTACAATATAATTGAATGATCCGTAAATTAACCGGTAAATTGCTAAGGTCCTCGTAAAGAAAGAGAGCTCAATTTTATTTTTTCCTTTCACAAGCAAGCACAAGAGGCTCGACTTTAGTTACTAGAAGCCTAAATGTTTCTCTTCATCAAAGCTACAAATTTGAAAACGTGCAGCGGAGAAAAGAGTAAGATCGTGGGATCCTAACCACCAATCAATCAGCTGACTACTGTTCTCCAAAATACATGGTTGACAGAAGTGATTGGTTAGGAAAGCCGGGAGCCTTAAGAATCTGCGCCTCCCTTAGACGTTTTTCTTGTACACTGTGACTTACTATATTTATGGAAAATTTCCATTGGTTTGCTAAACCAAAATGATTGACATTCTATTTAACGTTGCATACAATCAAGTTGTAAATACTTTTTTTTTACTCATAAAAAATCGTTCGTGTTTAAGGGCCCGTGACTTCTGCTATTGAATTGATACAATACTACCATGCACTATTTACCATGTCAATGTACCTCTTCCGACAGTCGAGTGTCTAGCTTTATCATGGTACTAACCTTAAAAATATTTGTAGGAGGAAGACATTTGAGTCGTCACTTCAGAGCCAACGTTGGAAAATTTCTGCGGCAGATGTAAACTTTACAAGAAAAGCTCTGGATGGAAGAAGCATGGTGAGAAACAACCCAAAACATACTTTTATCAAACCAACATCTAAGGTTACCGCCTACTATTTTAATAAAGCATCTATTTCCTCGTATATGATATCATGATCTACCTTTCCAAGACTGATGAAGAATACAGGGTCAAGATTGCGCTTGGAATTATACGTTTTGTGTACTGTCCTTCACTGATTGTCTATGATAAACGTCAGTTTCCTAACGAAAAGTGCGCCCAAAAATAATTCGCTCAAAGGAAAAGGCGTAAGATTCTCTTATGTAACCACCCGCGATCAGGCATTTCTTGAGCGTGCGTTAACCTGGGCTTTACTAAAGTTAGAAAAGAACATGTGGAAAGGCTAAGATAAATAACGTATCACTATTATAAATGTTGTAATGTCTTTGGCAGATTTCAACATCTAGCTTTGGCTCTGGTGACAGCAGTATGAATTCGAGAACTTTAGAGGAGGATGAAATAAGAGGACAAGTATTTACCAACGTGGCAATTTTTAAGGTTTGTTATCTAGGTCTCGAGGATTATATATGTCATCAATTGAAAAGGTGAGCGGGTAGTATGATGAGATGAGAGCTATTTGTCTCTACTCGAATAAAATGATTGTTTTCCAAAAATAAAAGTAACTTCATGGTTACACCATAATCATATTACAAACGCACTCGTTTAAATACAACGGCCAGCAGGTAGGCATGTGTCCACCAATGAAACCTTTAGAATTTCTGTTTCTTTCTATGGTTCGCCTGGGGTATATCATCAGTTTCACAAGAAGCGTGAATTTCACTAGATATTGTCAGGTGAGATAGTAAGTGATTTTTGTCCATTTTAATTCTGTAGTCTACAGTGGTAGCAGTTAAAAAGCTAAGAAAGACGCACATTACCTTGTCAAGGACAATACTCATGGAATTAAAAGAGGTAATCTGCCATATAACACGAATATCTAAAGTACAGAACGGAGTTCCCTTAAGCAGCCACCAAAAACACCACACCGGCTGTCTTCGTAGACTGAAACAACGGACGAAATTTTGGGTTAATTGCATGTTGTGACTCAGTAGAAGCATTAAAAGCTTCTACTCAGTGTGGAAGGCCCTCAACAAAGTAGAGAGATCAGCAAAATCTAGATAGTTTCGAAAACCATTTTTGCACGCTAAAGTGGTCGCCATCAAGAGAAAAGTACACTGTGAACCTAAAAAATACCAATTCACTTATGTGGAATGACAACTATAGTATACTACTTAATTCCATTTCGCAATATCGAAGAGAGGCTCCCTTCAAATGACCATTTCATAGTCATTTTTAACGTAAAATCTCTTCCTCTGCAATATCATTTGCCATAGATCTCTAAGAAAAATCTAATTTTCTCGACAAAAGAAAAAGATTAGTTCAAATCAAGCTAAATTTTGATCAATCATTCCTCTTCACGGTAGTGTATATCTTATATAGGTGTACGAGCTTCAACATCCAAATATCAATCGATTTATTGGAGCGTGTGTGCATTCGCCAAATATATGGATTTTAACACAGTACTGTAACAAGGGAAGTCTGCAGGTAAATTGTAAAAGTGTGAAACAAAGGCATGATTAAAGGGTCCCTTGTCTACCCACGTTTTGTGGTAAGGATAATCATAAAGGCTAACCATTAGAAAAGAGATAGCTATCCATCTACTTGGGTGTCGATTGGTTGCTTGTTCTTTATTTTTTGTTCGGGAATTGCATCCTAAAAGCTTCCCTAATCTGACTGACAATAATATACTTAAACCACTGATACAAAATCCAGAATTGGCATGGACCAAAGATGCAGTTAAATGAGGGATTTTGTTGCAATAACATAGACAAGTAGCATAACCACGTTTCTCGATTAAAGTGCTTGGCCTTTCGCTTATCACAGGTTAAATCTTGTAGCGCACTGGTAGTGCAAGGATCAGAGTCCGCAAAGGTGCCAGGCAGAAAAACATTCCATGCAATCTCTCCACCATATTAGCCCGATCTCGTAAGCTACTCTCAGATCGGCCAGACAGACCCTTATTTGCTACAAATATAGCATTTCATGCACCTATTTCTCTTTCAGGATGTTTTGAATAATGAGAGGATGAAGCTTGACTGGATGTTTAAAATGTCCTTTGCATCCGATATTGCAAGAGTAAGAGCAGGCAAAATATTTTTGCTTTTAATCTAGCAAAAAAAAACAAAACAAAACAAGTACAAGAGAAATAATAAGACGCTGAAAAATCTGCCTCTTGTATAGATTTTTTTTTTCCGGAATGAAGGCATAAGTTCTTTTGGTATACTTATTTGTGATGTAGAAATTGAAAAATAAAATTCTTAACAAAGCAACACTGCGGGTTGTAAACCCATAGAAAATTGTAGGGAATCAAGAAACAAATCTTTTTCTTGGTAATGATAGCTCCTGGGACTACTCCTTCTTCCTTTAATTCATATGGAAGCCAAAAAAGGATATATTCTCTTACAACTCATGTCTACAGGATTGAGATTCAAAGGTGCTGCTTTTATGGCCTTCGTTTTTGATTCTGTTAATGAGACAGCCATCTTTATGTTGGTCACTTATGTACAATAAAATTTTGGACAAGTGCAATGTCTCTCTCATTACCAACAGGGGATGTTTTTCTTACACAAAAGCTCAATCCTTTACCATGGTGACTTGCGATCTTCAAACTGTGTCGTAGACAGCCGTTGGGTTTGTAAAATAACCGATGTCGGACTAGAACATTTTAAATCAGGACAGAAGGTTGACTCGTATCTTGGCCTTGATGCGGAATATAACAGTGAGTAGTCCAAAATACCAACGAAATAAACGACTAGAAAGCAGAAAAGAAAAGGAAAGCCTTAATCTTGAAGTTTTCAATAGAGTTGGAGATAGAAACCTCGTTAAATCAGGCGTACAGACGAATTTGGATCCACGACAAGAGCCGCGACACCTGCACGATGCTTCACGGTTTTAGATGAGCGGTGAAGTCTCATTTTGGAGCCAGCTAAAATTGGGTTTATAAGTTAAGCGAAAGAAAGGATGACAGTCTAAAAGTCCTGGGGACAGCTCTTTTATTTTGCAACCATAATAATGAATGGAGCTTGTTTTATACTCTTACCATAAATTTGACTTTTCAGCAAGGTAAGAATAATGTAGAATCGAATGGTGTGAAAGCGTCATCCTAGCTAGGCTCTCTCGTGCGAGTAAATTGTTCAAAACAAGAAAAAGGTACAATCACATAACAATTCATATTCACCTTCTTTTTTAAACGCTTCAGATCTTTTGTGGCGAGCACCGGAACACCTCGATGGCAGGAATAATTTGTCTAAGTCACAAAGGGGAGACGTCTATAGCTACGGCATTATTCTGCAGGAGATTCTTCTTAGAAGTCTGCCGTATGCCATGAATGACTTCATGGAAGCAAAAAGTAAGCTTCTGATGTTCTGCTTTGACCTCTAAATACTTAATTTAGACATTGTAGGGTAGTTCAGTTCGCCGAGGATGCGAAATAAATAACCAAAAAATCAGTCCTAGTGAGTTTTCAGCGAAGAGGTACTAGTACAGATGCTCAAGGAGGAAACTTGATGGAGATCTATCGCATTTTTCCACAGAAGGTGTAACCTTTTGTTTTCAACTTGGAGTGAAAGCTGTGGCCGCCCAGCCTACAGGACCCCCACAACATTTATGACCCTAAGTGTAAAAGGATGATCCACTATAAATGCAGAATATACTTCAGTGAAGCAGAAAATAATTTGTAAGGGTTTCCCTCTCCAGTAGGGAAAGTTTTCTTCATTATCAATTGTTTTTATAATTTTCAATTGCTGTCATTCTAACAGCAATTGTCAGCATGGTACAGAAAAGAGAGAACCCTCCTTTCCGTCCAGTCATTCCAAGCAGCTTTGGAAATGGACTGTACGTGAGAATGATGCGATCCTGTTGGAGTGATGAGCCAACCTTACGACCAAGGTTCAGTGATGTTCTTCAAACGATAAAGAAAATTAACAATGGAAAGTAAGTTCTATCTCGCAGCTAACGAATAACGACCAAAATATCATAATTCCGTTTGAGACCATGCCTTTAGCATTTATAACTGTGAATAGCTTATTTTGTCCTTGAGCACTTCATTATGGGACGTATTTTGACAATATCGCTTAGCCTTGATAATCCAACACAACTGTTCTCGGCTTTGCGAAGATTGAATAACGCTTTCAACTGGATAAATCTCTATCCAGTGATGAACTCAGCACGTTTTGATGAAAGCTATCCGCTGGATAGGAATTTATCCATTGGATAGCGTTATCCGACCTTTGAAAAACTGGTCCCTGTCCTGAGTTGACTTGTAAAAGTGTTTTAATGGTCGATTATTATTCCCTTAGATGTTACCACCATGAAATTGGGAAAAAAGCACACGAACCAAAACGTTCTGTCCTTCTTGTGATGTTCTTTATAAGCCCTGATAATGTGATCATATTTGTTGCACCGAGGATGAAGTACGAAAGACTAGTATTAGCTCGCAGAAGCTGAAATTATTTGATTTCTACTTTTCGGTTCCTTTGACGTATGAATTGACAGAAACTGAAACTTTATTTCGAGTCTTTTTTTTTTTTTTTTTTTTTTTCATTTTTCTGATCCTTCCATTGATTTTATTTGAAAGGGACATCAACATTATGGACAACATGATATCACTGATGGAAAAATACACAGACCATCTGGAAGAGGTCGTAAGAGAGAGAACAGAACAACTGGAGGAAGAGAAACAAAAGACAGACGCCCTGTTATACAGGATGCTTCCAAAGTAATAACAGAGGATCCAGAGCTATCGTAAAGTTTCATGATGCTATCCGAACAGGGTTTTTCAATTTCTCTATCTCGTTGCTAATTGTAGAGAAAAAGGAGGGGGAATGAAAGATTGATATTCACATTTGATGAGAGACGTACACAATGCAATGACTTTAATTATACGGCTTTGCTGCCTTTTTTAATAGGACGGTGGCAGAGCAGTTAAAACGTGGTGAAGCTGTTGCAGCAGAATCGTTTGACCAGGTTACAATCTTCTTTAGTGACATAGTGGGTTTCACTACTTTAGCTGCCCAGAGCAAGCCGCTGGAGGTGAGAGAATGTTTTCTTTTTTGTCTGTCAATCTGCTCAAATAAAAGAATTGTGTAGCAAGACGACGAAACGTCTTTTAACAAGTCGATTTGGTTACAGGAAGTTTTTCTATGAAAACGAAACTGATGGTGCTCACTCTTTATGAAAGACAGCTGATTTTTTCAACCTGACAACTTGCTACATTCATTCTGAACTAATTGATAAACAGAAACTTTCCATCGATCATTTATTAAGTCAAAATGCAAGAAAACAAAAACAAAAGATTATTCTTTGTGAGGAAGCTACTATCTTAAGCTGTAGCGGGCTTTTTATTATCTTTAATTTTTTTACGGCTTGTTCAAACCACATCCCCCCTGATGACACAGATTGTGACGACAATTATCTATCAAGTATTGAAGCAGACAGTCTTCGAATATACAAAAGCGTTTCACGTTCTTTAGGGATTGATCGGAAGTTTACATTCATTTAAAACATATTTTCTTATTCCGGCCACGTGTTTGAACTAACATTTTTTTCACAGATTGTTAACCTGTTGAATGATCTTTACACGTGCTTTGACAGTATTATTGATTGTCATGATGTTTATAAGGTAAGAAAATTACCCCTACTAAAAAAGAAATGATTTCTTTCATGACGATGCAGTAACCTTTTCCGTTGTAGTTGTTGATTGTCTTTCTGAAGGTTTTGCCTAGGTTGTCATTGATGTTGTGTTAGTTTTTGTTAAATTTTTGTGGTTTTTCTTCTTGAGGTGTTCGGTGCTATTCTCATCGCTGACAGGAGTAACAGCCTTAGGTGGTGTCGATCTGTCCGTTTCCTACCATTTTTCCTTTGTGTACGATCTTTTAAAATTCTTCACTTTTGTTCATCGAAGGTTGAGACAATTGGAGATTCTTACATGGTTGTATCTGGACTACCCAAGCCCAATGGCATTTGTCATGCTGGAGAAATCGCCAACATGTCCCTTGATCTTTTGAGTGACATGTGTCACTTTAAAATCAAACACCTTCCGGAGAAACAGCTCCAACTTCGAATTGGAATTCATTCTGGTAAGATATCTCTGGGGTAAATATGTTTCCTCCAAACCTTTTTTCTTCCGCGTACATGATGATATTACTATTAAAACTTTCTCAATCTTAGCAAGAAAAATAATCTTTGTCAAGGAATCTTCAATTTTATGTTTCCCTTTTATGTAAGAGGGCCTAATTTGTTGTCTGGCATTCTTATCACGATTGCTAAAACAGCAATGCCTCACCAAATTAGTTTTTATGACCCGTCTAACAAACGCCTACAATAAATATTTTAGTGATTTCATCGCCTTCTCTTCAGGCTCATGTGTTGCTGGTGTCGTTGGACTTAAGATGCCACGTTACTGCCTGTTTGGTGATACTGTCAACACAGCGTCCCGAATGGAATCTAGCGGGTTTGGTAAGTATGATATATGACATCACACTACTGGCACAAACTACGAAAACCACGAACAGAGCAGTCAAAATCAATCTGACAGCATTATGCGACAGCCACTTTCACATGGAGGGTTGGCCAATATACAAGTACACATTTTTTGTCTTTTAATTCCCGAATCCATTAAAAAACTAGAGGTCCAGTGGTAATGTTTGAAATGAAAATCGTGTAACTAAAAAACTCCGGTGCTGAGAGTGGGGTAGTATGGGGAAACGGAGAGAAAGAGTTCGCTTCTGTGACTCAAGTTTGCTTCCCATTCTAGGTGTTACGTGGGTAAATTCTCCTTGGTAATTTTATACTCAACAAAAGAATTTTCTTGGCCGGTTTGTTCAAAGCTGGGTTAAGGTAACCCAGGGTTAATGTGAAATCTGATGGGAAAGTTTTAAAAGAAAATCCAGAATATTTTTTTACTTCTAAAACCCGATGATTGGATTCTTATTGGATTAAACCCCGAGTTAGCGCTGGTCGGCCTTCGAACAACTGGGCCCTGATTCACAGGTGCAATCAGACATATTGATTTCATTTAAATTTGATGTGAAAATTGTATTTCATTCGAGTAAGACTAAAATATACCATTGTTTTCCAATCTTTTAGCCCTCAGGATTCATGTCAGTTCTCAATGCAAGTCCTTACTGGATAATATCGGTGGTTATCACCTTGAGGAAAGAGGCTGGACGTCGATGAAGGTACTCTTTATAACCATTAGCGCCACTTTAAACGTCAGCTACTTCGGTATCTTGCTTTGCAAATTTTTACCACATTGAAAATCAAATTATATAAGGTTAGGTTAACTGCATGTACACTTCTTAACAGTCGAGATGAATTATATATTGTTTGGAGTACCCTTCATTATAGTTTAATACTTGACTATATACATGCTTTTTTTTACAGGGAAAGGGAACATTGCTGACGTTTTTCTTAAACGGACGTGAAGGCTTTCTGAAGTCTCTACCAGACCTTAGTAAAGCCGCTCCTATGGAAGAACATTCATTTAAATAAAAAACTGACAATCCAAGATAATATGCAAGATGTACAATTAAAAATAACAGAAAGTAAAAGCGAAAAAATGCCAGATCCTGCTGCTCAACTCTAAAATGCGATGCGCTAAACTCTCCTGATTAAAATTGGACATGATCCATGTTAATTGTGACATAGAACACCTGTCCCACAATATACAATAGCACTTGTACTGAGTAGAGCTCACTGATACATGATTGCAAACCAAAACTGCATGACACCAAGTTTAATTTCCACTTAATTACATCCATTTTTCAAAAATTGATGTGAATAAATTCGTCCATTTTTAGTAAAGAAAATTCGACGTTCGGACGAAAAATCAAGGAAATTCTCCGCAATTTAGCTTTTACGATTTTAATTTTCCTGCGATTCGATTGGCATAGTACTGGATCCACACTGGTAAGGAAAAAGAACCGATTTAGAGAAAACTAATTGGTGTTACACTGAGCTCCAATCAGACTACTTATATCACTTTTAATTTTGAAATAGATGAAATAATAGAAACGCTACTTTTCATATCGCTATAACAGAACATAACTTACTGCAATTAAAGTAAGTCATACCGTGCAACGTAATTAGTTTTGTAATTCAAACAGCTATCAAAATATCTATGTACTTCATGAGTCAGATTGTTTTATTCAGAAATATATTAACATATTATTTTCAAATGGTCTCTGTATCAAAGATAAATGAGTGGATGCTGGCTTCCAAGTGATCAGAGAGGAAAATGTATGCAATACTTCAGCGGATCGGATCTAGACCTTTGCTTTTCCCCATTATCTTATAATCACTTAGTATCGGAAACTGCAGTTTGTCCTGCCGGTTTTCAAGCAAACTTTTCCTCTCTAACGCCCCTCAGACACTAATTAAAAAAAACCTGAAACCCCAAATTATTTCCACAGGTTAGCCTACCGTCCACACTATGACTGCGAATACTCATACTATACGTTTGTCCAAGTATGCAGTCAGACTTATTTCTCGCCATTGATTGCTGCGTTCTCAAACATGTTAACCACTTTTAAGATTTCACGGAAAACTTGAGTTGCGATTTTAGGGAGCAGACGCGATTTTCAAATCTATCTGGCATAGTGTAGGCGGGCTGAGTCCATTTCGAATCGTTAAAATATACGCTCTTTCCTTAATTTTATTCACTAGGTCGCTACTATCAGCTCACAAAAAGTTGTAAGCTTTACATCAAGTGACGGCAACAATAACACACAGTTAGCATAAAAACATTCATGCATTGGGCACAAATCCTAACATAGGGTTGAAGACTTTGATTGGCTGATGCAGCCGGTAATCAGTTCAGCTTTTTATGATAAGCGCTTTAGTTAAAGTATCCGGTAGTTTTGACTTTCGTAGCGTTTGCTGATGAATTTGTGTGAATTATCAATCTTCTTCATTTTTCGCTCTTCCTTTAACGATTGATCAACCGAAGTTGACCTCAACTTGCATTTTGAGATGACAAGGAAGAAAGCTGTAAGTAACCTCAGATGCCTTTTTTTCTTAAAGCTGGCAGCGTTTTGAGTGTTTGTAGATCGGCGCTGTAATAGCGCGTAATTTTACTTTCCGTACAGATAGATTTCGGTAGGATTGTTCTAATATATCGTTTCTAAAATTAACTCGAGATGCGGATTTCACTCACTTACTTTTTTGGTGTCCACTAATAAATGGACTGAACTAAGAGCAACTGACTCGCGACATGGAGACTTGCGAAAAGCATTATATAGTACAACTAATGAATTAACCCAAACTTTTATGGGAAAATTATTTCAGGAAATACGAGCACTGAAGACGACATTGATAAAGTGAAAGTAAATACATGTTTGAAAGTTTTCTCTTCGAATAGGTCCTTGAGAAAACTTACAAAATTGCCGTCGGTTTCTAACGGCACATAGTAACTGTTATGTAAACCGATTCCCATAGCCATCACAAAATTCATTAAGAAATTAATTTGCCCTAACAAAACTAAGTTGAATAACTTAACTAGTAAACCGAATGCAAACAGAATTGAGTAGTAAAAAGCGAATTAAATTTTTGATTTATGTTTTGTGTACGGTATCGCTAAAATTGGCGCTACAAAAATTAAAAAAAAGGAAGGTTATAAAACGACGAATAGTCCGATTCGATGAGACATGATGTTTGAATAGTTCAACTTGCCGCAGGAAAAACCTGGAACTCATTTACCGGCCTAAGTCGGTCGGCATAGCGAAGAAAAACTGTGTCTGAAGGTTCGAGTGTGGCAATAGCCGGGGAGCTAGTCTAATAAAGTGGATCTCCAAAAAGCTCAGAAACTGTTGTTTTATGCTTGAATTCACCCCTATTTCGCTGAGGTCAAGTTCCAGATTTTCATCCTGCATTTATTACATGCACGATTAATACCGCTCTAAGACTAAGGAATACCGATCAGTAATTCACCGCAAATCAGACAACTTCCTTATCCATGCATACACGGATATGTAAACGTGGATAGATTGGTAAATTATCGTAATGTTTCCTCCCTCTCAGTGGATTTATGAATCTATAAAATTATGGCGATGTTTTTGGTCGACAGTCAGGTGTCGTGACTGTGTTATAGTATCACAGAAACTACTCCGAAATTGCTATTTTAGCCTCTAAAATGATCTTCTCACCCATTTTATTGGCATGGGTCTAAAAATAAGGTTTGTTTCGTTTGCCCGGCTGAACACTAAAAGTAGGAGTTTTTCATTAGAATTTGAAACACTGAAATAGAATAGACAAATCGATTGGCCAAGCCAGAGAAATACCCTGATACTGTATCTCAAAATATTGTTTTTATAATCTGTAACATGCCTGTTTGTCTTTAACGAAAACTTGCGCCGTGATCACTTGATCAAGTTAATAATCTCCACATGTTCCACGTACAGTATCACAGCTTTGGAAAAAACAAAGCTTCACTCTAGAAGCTGTCCATTTGTCTGTATTTGTTGTCATCTTTTGATGTCGCTATTTCAGGATCTGGGAGAAGGAAATGATGCGAATGACCTGGGCACTAATAGGTTGTTATTTCCGTATCAAGAACTATCCTGAAAAAGTGGCTAAGTAGGCCTATATGTACTTCTATTTTATTGCATTGTGTTTGGATTCACCTTCGCTCGAAGTTATCAAAGCTTTCATGGCACCGTTTACGCAGAGTTTGCAATTTTCCAGAGAAATCTGATGTATTGATCACCTCGCAGTTGTTTGTTATTTGACCAGGCTGATTAATATGTATTTGATATTAGATTCTGTTTTTCAATGTGATTGTGATAACGGATAAAACACTTGAACTGCAGTCATTAACGAGAACAAACTGGTAAAAGACTATTAACGATCGTTAGGGGCACCTTGATATTAGCGCGGAGCCCAGTGCCAGACACCTTAGCTCAAAATTGTGTTAGAAATCTACGAGACATTGCATGTAAACCTAACATTAAGAAGCTGAAAGACCTTGAAGACGACGTAAAAAAAAGAGCATGCAGAAGGCAACTGGGAAAGAAATTTTCCTTTAGAAGAGAAAGGATAAGAGGGTGGCGAAAAGTGTGGAGCGTTGAAGACGGTAAAACCACGACTTCCCGAGTAAATCAAAATGTGTAAAGATTTTCACATAAATGAGAAAGTATTTATCGCCCTTGGAAAAATATATTCCATTTCTTCCTGTGATTTTTTTTTCCGGGGCCAGGAAAAGATAATAACTCTTTCTATGTTGTTATGTTTCTAGGTAACAAACAAAGTGAACTATTTTGGAAAGTGAAGGTGAATTAGTTGGTAATAGCAATGAAAAACAACGTCTGGATTTATATTGCCTTTTTAATGCTGGACGCTTTATCAGCCTTCACGAAAATTTTAAAGCCTGAAAAAAAATTCTTCAAATCAACAGAATTGAGAATGAACTTAAAATCTAATTGAACGGAACATCATCATAGCCTTGTGAAACTGAATCGACACACAAAGACACCTTTATGTTAGACCTATTTATCCTGGTTTTTGATGTATTATTTCTTTCACGTGTGCATTTGTAATGACTTTTCGTCAAAACCTTATTTTCATGTCATAAATTACATACCATGATATGTTAAAAAAAAAGTTTTAAAAAAATTAATCACCAAGTTTTTATTTTAGCACCTTGTTCTATAGGTCTTTTACATTGACTGTGGTATGTAGATCGATTATCTTTCCGGGAAGCAGATTCAGAGCCTGTGAGTTTAAAATCCAGATTGTTCTTATAACAACGATATGATTTCGCGATGAAAACCTAACTACCAACAAATAACTTTTTTATGGCACAAACCTTCCTTACTCATAAGATGCTAAGGAAAATTATAATCTACTGCCATCTGGAATTCCCTCTGAAGAAATAATATTGCAAATGTGAATGTAAACTAGTTCTTCCTGATAAGATCGCACTTTTCTGCCTTTGTTAAACGTGTCATCTTGCATAATCTGCCTCACTGACGCAAATGAAGTTTAAAACCGTTCTTTTGTGTCAACAGGAAATTGATTTAAGACCTTATTTATACCTGGACAGTTAATGGTTACTTACATGGCAATTTTGCATGTGGCGGCTTATGGGCTTAGACTTTGCAACATAAGGTAAAATTCTCTTCTAATTGATGATTCGTAAAGTGGGCAAATAACACTTAAAATATCCTTTCTTTTTTATCCTTTTGGAAACCTCTACTCCGGCATCAAGATATCGCCACTGAGGGGAAAAACCCCATGTTGAAAAAGCAATTCACGACGTAGCTAAGCATTATCTTTAACAGCGAACTTTATTACGATCTCGCCAAAAGCTAAACGACATTGGTAAGTTCTCAACTTTTTCCTTTGATTTATTTTTTTCTTTAATTTGAAAGACTATTTTGTTTGTTTGACTAACCGAAATCGGGGGAAATGACGATAAACCCAAGCTGGTAAATCGTACATTCTTAAAAAGACAACGACGCGAATTTCATTAGCAACTAGCTACTGAATTATTTTTTAATACTGGCACGGAGAGCCGTTTACGTATCTTTCTTTGAAATTTAGAGGCGCTTGGGTAATCTCCTGACTTTTGTCAGAGTGGTTTTTTTTTTGGTACTATGATCATATAAGAACTTCGAAAAAAGGGAAGAATATGGCGATGATTGTATGTGTGGTCGTTGCTTTTAAGGCGAAATGAGAAGTGTTACATGTACGTTTGCAAGTAGCTTTATTATTTTTTGATTATGTTTCCTAGAATAAAAAGAGCCAGTTTTTAAGCACAGAACTGAACATCGATATGATTTTACGATTTCGTATTCGATAAGCAATTGAACCGGGCATCTGAGGTCTTAAAAATGGTAATAAATTGGAATAGCACGCCCTGACATTTCTGAGAATCAAGAGCGGTAATTTGATTTCTTTGCATAGCAAACGAAACCCTCCATAAGGTCATCAACAATGTATTTTATCTCTGCCGATCTGAATCTATTCTCATACAAAGAAAACTTAGGGCAACTAAAATTTGGTTCACGATGATTTTCGACGCCAATTTGAAAATTGGAGTCAAAGTAACTGGGCTTAAATAGTACAAGGTTTCAGAAAAAATTCTACCAAACAAAGCAGTATGTGTGTCTAAAATAGGACATTAAGACTCTTGACTT